TGAAATAAATAAGGTACACGTGTAACCATCATATTGTTTCATTAGTTTGACAAGCTGAAAGAAAAAACGTGTATATAAAAAATAGCTTAGATAGTTATACTACTGATTTCTCTGAGTTCACTGAAGAGAAAGATTTGTGTCAGTGTTGTTCAGATAACTGAATGCAGATGTCTTGTGCTCTGAGGGGATGATCCGGGAATGACAATGAGCAACATATGTTACCATTGTTGCCTCTGATTGACGTGCTTTGAAATTTTGCTGTATTTTCTTCTTTTTTTTTCCTTTCTTTTTATCCTTGAATAAATGAATTAAAAAAATAACTTGTAGGTGTGGGGTATTTAGGCTCAGCTATGAGGAAAGTAACTAGGACATTCCACAAGTGGCTGGCTGACTTAAACATTGTGGCCTTCAAAATCATGAGCCAAAATAAACCTTTATTCCTTACTAATATTCTGTCTGTATCCTGAGTTTGTAGTAACGGAAAACAAACTAAAACAGCTTATTTATTGATTTTTGAATTCTGGTTTTGGCAACAAAAGCCCGTAAATCAAAATGATAAAACATCAGCGAGGGCAATAGTAACACTGCTCAAAGAAGCATCTGCATCCCCCAAGACACTGAGCTTGATTTTGGGGCAGGGCGGGGCGGTACTGAGGATGGAACCTGAGGCTTTATACTATGTCCCATCTCAGACATGTTTTAAAAATCTGGGACAGGGTCTTGCTAAATTTCCCAGGCTGATCTTGAACTCTCCATCTTCCTGCCTCAGCCTGTTGAGTAACTGAGATTGCAGGCTTGCACCATTGCTCCTGGCTAATTAGCTGGCTTTTACCGAATGCTTGTTTTCCTAGACACTACCTTAAAGCTTCTTCATCATTTTGACCCCATAATGTAGGTCCTTCACCTGAAGGCTCACTTCCTAGATGACAGAATGGAGACGTAGAGAAGTTAAGCAACTTGATTAAAGTCACAGAACTAGAAGATGGAACCATGTTTCAAAGCCAGGCTGGCTGGCTCCACAGCCATGCCTAGGCGCTTCTAACCATTCTTTCCTCAGCACCCCTAGAATGGGAAGGATGCTGTTTTGAATCACACTTTTTGGCCTGATCAAATAAATTAACTTTTGTTCTGTTTTTCATTTTTTCCATAAATGAAATCAGGCAACCATTAAAATAACAGAAGCGTATACACTTATTCTACCTAGAAGATTTTATTCTTTTTATAGTCAAGAAAATAAAAGCTACCAGAGTTGCCTTACAGTGGCACAAAAGAATCAATTTGTGCTTGCCGCCCTCTTACCTCCTTTTCAACCCATTCTTCAAAACTTTTTGTTTTAGCTTCCAGTTGGCCAGAGCGCCTCAGACTCTGCCACTGGTTCTAATGTTTTAAAATAGATGAAATTGAGCTGGGGGTGGTGGCACATGCTGGTGTACCCATCACTCAGAAGGCTAAGGAGGATCCCCATGAATTCAAGGCCAGCCTTGACTACGTAGCAAGAACCTGTCTCAAAAAGTAAAGGAAACAAAACAACCAAAACAACCAACCAAACAAAGGTGAAATGATTAAGTTCCTAACTACCAATTTATATACCCATTTCTTGAAGTTGGTTCATCTCATCTGGATGTTGAAAGTAACAGATTACCTGTTAAATAAGGCCCATTAACAATGATCTATTAGACAACATTTAGAAATATTCACAATTATATTTTTAAAAGGAGCATGAGTTCCCTAGGACTTCAGGTTGATAGTATTTCTTAGGATATTTGTGAAAAGGTGGTTTCTTGGTTTTCTAGATGATTCTAGAAATGGTGCCTCTTGTCATTTCTCTGCTGGAATGTGGAATTCATTTTCTAAATGTGCGCTTGTTTGTGTGTGTGGTGTAAGAACTGAACCCAAGGCTTTGTGCATATTAGGCAAGCACTGTACCACTGAGCTATAACCCCAGCCCTAACCTTTTTTTTTTTGGAGACAGGGTCATTCTCTGTAGCTTAGGCTCTCCATTTGTTTTTTTTTTTTTTTTTAAATCTTTTTGACACAGGGTCTCACTATGCAGTTCAGGCTGGCCTTGGACTCACCTTGTAGCCCAAACTGGCCTTGGACTCACAGGGATCCCCTTGCGTCAGTTTCCAAGTCCTGGGATTACACATGTGCACCATGTTTAGGCTCTCCTTGAGCTCACTATCTAGTCCAGGCTTGGCTTGAACTCATGGCACTCCTTCTGCCTCAGCCTCCTGAGTGTTAGGATTACAGGTGTGTGCCACCATGCCTGGCCTCAGATATTCTTATTTATTTATTTTTGTGGGTACCAGGAATCAAACTCAGGACCTTATGCTTGCCAGGCAGGCAATATACCACTGAGCTGTATCCCTGGCCCCACAGAGGAGTTTTATACTTTTTTTTTTTTGGTACCAGGGATTGAACTTATGACCTCGCACTTGCCAGGCAGGCACTTGTGTCACTGAGCTAAATCCCCGGCCCCTTCAGATGAGTTTTATACTGGCATGCATTTAAAACCACTGACCTGAAGGGTAATTTTTAAAAGTAAAGCTTCAGCGTCATTTAGGTTGTTAATTTTTTTTTCTATTACAGACCATAGGTCAGAACTTCAAGGCATATTGTGTAAAAACCTAATTATAAGAAGACTGAATATAATGTTAGACTAACAATTAAATCTATTTACAAGATTGCATGTCCTTTTATTGTAAATTACTTGTGTGAAACGTCTTACTGAATTATATGTGTGAAACATCTCCAAGTGTTCTTTGGTAGAAGTTGTTTAATCCTAATTTGCTTCCATAAAATTAACCAGCTGCTCAGTTTTTACTACGCTACCCACATGCTGGTCTCCAGTAAGCCTGGAGGTGTTCTCTGAACAAGTTTCATTTCCTGTACAAAAAGAAATGGGCTTAAAATGAACTGAATTTGGTCAACTGTGCAACATTTAGAGTGATTAAATTTAAACTGGTTATCAAAGGAGACTGTAGCTTTAAAGATTTTATTTTATTTTGTTTTTGGTAGTCACGACCTTGTGCTTGCCAGGCAAGGGTCCACTGAGCAATATCCCCAGCCCTGGAAACATTTTAAAATAGGATATACAGAGGCTGAGGATTTAGCTCTGCAGCATAAGCCCCTGCCTGGCAAGAGCGAAGCAAGTTTGATCCCAATACAAAAAAAAAAAAAAAAAAAGGAAACACAACCATATTTTTGGATGTGCAAGGTATCCAGTAGTTTAAGTTAGATAGTCCAAATAGAAGCTTTAATAGTCTTTCTAGCTGTATAACTTGATTAAACCACCCCTCCACTCAAATGAACATTAACATTATTTAACATTATTAACTAGCTCATCTTTGCTACAATTCTATCTGTTATAGAAACACAATTTAGTTGCATATACCACTCAAAGAAAGAAACTCTTTGTGTATGTGAGGTGCTGGGGATTGAACCCAGAGCCTTGTGCATGCTAGACACATGCTTAATCACTGAGCCACATCCTGGCCCAGAAACAAACTATTCAATCCACTCTCAGATAATTCAGATACCAAACAGAATTCTTCATTGGAATTATTTGGTTTGGCTGCGTTAATCGATTAACTCCTCCCTACCATAATTTCTCTTAGATTTATTTTTCAATTGTCATTTCCTCCTGATGTTTGCCAACTGCTATTTTCCTTCTCTTAAAATCTAAGTTATAGTTCAATCAAGGTTTCTTACCTTGAAAGTCCTTCTTCCTTACAGCCAAGTTGCACTGCTTTTGCTAGCAAAATGAAAAAGAGGTATTAAGGATAAAGATTCCATGAGACAATTGGGAACTCAATACAATGTAAGAACTGACCCTGTCTTTTTCAGAAACTAAAGATCTCTTCGAAGACTAAAGGAGAGCTCTTACTGAAAGAACATAACAATAAAGATAATTCTGTAAAACAAGTCTACTTGGCAGACTTTTAAAACAATTTTATTTTTCTTGCAGGGGATCACAGGAAAATCTAGAATTTTAGTTTCAAGGATGTAACTTCCATTCTTGTTACCATATTTGGACTTGTTCCACAGTACATGGATTTGCTCCAGTGTGTCTGTGGAACCAGGCAGCTAATAATCTTCACTCAGCACCTCATACTTTGTGAATGAAGACGGAATATATTGGTGGGATTAAGGGCTTGATTTTTGGGAAAGCACTAGTTATTTTGCTATTTTTTCTGAGGGCAGATGAAAGCCTGGTATAGCCCTACAGAGAAACAGACAAGAAGATGAGAGGTTGGGGAAGTTGGATCAGGAGCACGAGCAAAGACAAAGAGTTCTAGCCTTCAGCAGGTAAACCTCCACTTCTGTGAGCTTCACTTTACTATGTAATTAGAGGCTGAAGACGCTAAAGTCTCCTCTAAGTTTTTTGATGGGACAGAAATGCTATCAGTTGTTAACATAATTAGCCAGTGTATTCGGATTTTTAAAAGATGTTTTCCTTTGTGATATAAAAGAAATACAGAAGTCGATATCTTCGCCTGTCAAGCTTCAAGGCCGGATTGGAAATTAATGAACTGGTGACAAAGCTGAGAGCTTTTCACTTAGGATACTGATACCCAAGTGCTCACAAAAATGATTTCGAGTACATGGCCCACAGCTTCGTCCGAGAGCTGTTAAGGACACCGCGCGGGCTTCCTGGACCCGTGCGAGCCAGCACCATTTTGCTGGAGCTAAGACTGCTTGGGGCAGCGCTGGGAAGGTTATGATCTCAGGAAACCAGGGCCAGCAGCAGGGCTTCCACGGTCGCTGAAGAAACGCAGCAGAAGTAGACGTGCTCCCGGTCCCCAGAGAAGTCCTCAGCGGAGGCCCGCTCCCCCGCGCCGGCGGCCAGCCGTGACGGAGGCGACCCCACGGGACCCACGCCCCAGGCAGGCAGCGCTCGCGTTCTGAAGCCCCGCGCGGCCCGGGATCCTCCCAGTCATCCCCACAGCGCTGAAGGGCGTCCCCGAGAGCCAATGGGCGTCGGGGGGCGGGCCCGACCAGTCGAGGGGCGGGATTTCCCGCACGGTCGCTGGGGGCCTGGCTAGGGCGGTGCGGGCGGTGTCCGAGGGAGCGCCTGCGAGAGGGCGGGTCGGGGTCAGCTTCTGCGGGCGGGCTGGCGGGCGTCTCCTCCCGCCGTCCTCCCTCCGCCACGATGCCTGGGATCGACAAGCTGCCCATCGAGGAGACGCTGGAGGACAGCCCGCAGGTGAGGCGCGGGCGGCGGCGGGCGACGGGGAGAGCCGCGCGGGAGGCGCAGGCCTGCGCTGCCGCAGGTGCCCGCCCGGCCCAGGTGCTAGCCGCCACCGCTGCCCAGGCGCCCCCGCCCGCCGCGGGCCGGCCCGGAGAGCCAGAGGCCTGGCGCGCGGTTCGAGGCCCGCGCGGGGGTGCGCGGCCGGGCCGGGGCTGCCGCTGCCGCCGCCTCTCGGTAGCGGACGCCGTCCCCGTTTTAGTTGACGGGTCGTGGCGTTTTTATCGCGATGGCGTGCGGTGATACGTCCGCATCGTGGGATTTGCGAGGAAATGCTGGAGGGGACGAAACCCGGTAGTCTCGCTTACAGTCTTTGAGGCTCTGCACGCAAGGGGAGGAAATGGCTCGTTTTTCCGCGGGAGCTGCTGAGAGGCTGTGCGCCGAGAGGCATCGGCGGAGCTCGCGATGGGAGTCGACGCCCGCCCTCCTCGCCCAGCGGGCCCGCGTCGCGGCGGTGCCTGGCCGCTGTCACTCGAGGCGCGCACGGCGCGTGATGCGCGGCGCCTTTGCAGCTCCACGGCCGCTGCCCGCGCACTTGGCTCTAATAAACTCATCAAAATAAAAGCTCCTGTTTTGCGCGTTGGAGGTAATGCCGGTGTGGTTGCTTTAACAGTTTGGAAAATGTAAACACTTGATTACATTTTCAGTACTGAAGAATGAAATCAATTGTTTTACGGTGTTAGCTGGGGCTCTAACTTGCATAAAGAAATTTCATTCCTGTTGCCTACCCTTTACACAAGCGATTTGAGACTCTGCCTAAGTAAGGATGCACGTTTTCTGAAATTTCGCTTACATAGAAATACAAGTGTCTTTACTTTTATGTACTCCCCTCTCCCCACAAAAGAGGAGGAAAAAAAAATACCTCTTCTGTGGATGGCATTTCTGCCATAGATTTTTTTCTCCTGATTTTAATTGCCAGCTTGAAATGGGGCTCTGGTTGTAGAATTGATTTGTTCTTTTTCATCCTGAAAGTTATCGTCCTAGGGCAGTCGCTTGCTGGTACTGCAGTCTTATCACCTAAACCGACAAAGAGGAACCTATATTTGGTTTATCTTGACTGCCAGTACAGTTTAGCCAGTTCAGATTTGCTTAATGGCATCCTCAGTATAATTGTAAGCCAGAAGTGGTTGTGCACGCCTGTGATCTATGCTCTCTGGTAGCTGAGATAGGAGGATACCAAGTTCAAGTTTAGTTCGGGCAGTTTATTGACTTACAGAGTCCTTGTCTCAAAAAATTTAAAAAGAATCGGAGATATAGTTCAGTGTCAGCACCTTGGCTTCAATCCCCAGTACCTCACACACACAAAAATTTTTTTGGGTAAAGTTATGTTTGTTTCAAACGATTTGCAAGAATTTTGTGGTTGTATTGATGCTTTGTCATTTTAGTTTTTTATTATGTAAAATTCGACAGGTTGTCCTACTTTCTCTTGTCTGACTTTAAAAAAAAAAATACCTGTAAGTCCAAAATGAGTGACACAGTGCCCTAGCCATAACTAGAGGCAGAGAAAATTTTGAACTTTGAGAAATACTTGTGTTTTTTGAAAAGCATGCCTTATTTGTTTCAGCTTTATAGTAATTTTTACAGAAGTAACTATGTTGGTATTTTTTCAGTTTTTAGAAGCAGTGCATTTGAACTTGGTAATATTTATTTAGAAAAATTAGTTGAGGCAATGGGAATTTAAAAAGGGAAGACACTTGGAGGTAATTCTTAGGGAAAACTTGTAGGCAGGATGAAAAGCCCTGGTCTGGAGTTAGGGTAACAGTGATGTTAGTTTACTGCCACTTAGTGCCTTCTACTTTAAGGCAAAGCACTTAATATCCGTAGACCTCCATATTTTTAAACATTTTTTTCACACCAGTAATCTCAGCACCCAGGAGGCTGAGGCAGACCAGTCTGGACTACAAAGAGAGTTCAGGACCAGCCTGAACTACAAAGTGAGACTGTCTCAAAACAACTACCTCAGAACCTTTTTTTTTTTTCCCCTTTTCACAAATCCACCTTATTTCCAGATAAAAAGAAAAAAGAAGGAAAAACTATAACAAAATTTCAAAATATCAATCAGGAGGCAGCAATGCACATGGTACATTGTCACCCCCAAATCATTCACCCAGAGCACAAGACATCTGCATACAGTTGTCCAAACAACACCAGCACAAATCTTTCTCTTCAGTGAACTCAGAGAAATCAGTAGTATAACTATCTTAAGTTTTTTAAATACACATATATGTGCACACGTACAAATTTTTTCATCATCAGTATTTATTGAGCACCTATCATCTGCAAGGTACTATGTTACATGCTGGGGAAGATACAAAGGTAAATCTGACAGCCAGCCCTCAGAGGCTTGCAGTCTAGGAATAGTCTTTGGATATACAGATGTGTTTTCTTTCTCCTTCTCACACTACTGAAACAATGTTTACACGCATGTCTTACTTGTTTTACTAATGAGTATGGTATCAAGTTGCATTTATTTACCTGTAAAAGTCTCCAGTTTATCCTTCTTTGTGGTTGAGTAGTACCCCACTGGATAAAAATACAACTTTTTTTATCCATTCTTCAGTTGATGGGCACTTAGGTTGTTTCCAAGATCTAGCTATTACAAACTGTGCCACTATAAACATGGGTGTGCATATATCACTGTGGTATGATGTTTTTAATTCTTTTGGGAAGATACCCAGAAGGGGAATAGCTGGGTTGAATGGGACCTCCAATCCTAGTTTTTTGAGGAATCTCCACACTAATTTCCACAGTGGTTGCACCAGTCTGCTTTCCCACCAACAGTAGAGAAAGGTTCCTTTTTCCCCACAGCTTCTCCAGCATTTGTTATTGGTGGGATTTCTTGATATTACCCATTCTTTCCGGGGTGAAGTAGAATCTCAGTGTTGTTTTAATTTGCATTTCTTGAATGATCAGTGATGTTGAACATTTTTTTAGGTATTTATTTGCTCTTTGTGTTTCTTTATCTGAGAAGTGTGTATTCATCACAGATCTCTATTTTTGGATTGTTCCCTGATTTTAAAAATAACAGAATAACTTGTCATGTACCCAGCAGCAAAGCCTGATAATAATTTCCTTTCTTTATTCTAGTATTTTTTTATATCTGTATATTTCAGTGTAATTGAGATTATAGATAACAATTTTTATCTTTTAATAAATATTGTAGCTTAAGTATCTTTCCTTGTTATTACATCTTTGGAATAAAACAGATTTGGAGACGCCATATTTTCTTTCTTTCTTTCTTTCTTTCTGTCTTTTTGAGACTGGGTCTCACTGTGCTGTTCAAGCTGGCGTTGAGTTCACTTTGTAGCTGGTCTCAAATTTGCAGTGATCCTCCTGCCTCAGCCTCTGGAGTGCTGGGATTACAGGCACCACGCCCCCACAAGAGTTGAACTCTTTTTTTTTTGTTGTTGTTGTTGGTTTCTTTTTTTTTGGTGCGGGGTTTGAACTCATGACCTTGTGTTTGCCAGGCAGGTACATGTGTCATTGAGCTAAACATCCAGCCCCAAGAGTTGAACTCTTGAGTGTGAAAAAGTTTTAGAAATGCATACTTTTATGACCTTTGGGTTTTCCTTTTTATGTTTACATGAGAGCCATATGTAGTAAAATTCTAAGGGTCTGCATATGCAAATACAAAGTCAAAATGGCAGTACATGAGAATACTTTTAAGTCATACATAGCTTTATTGCCAGCATATTTTAAGTGTATGAAAACGGTGTGTCTTATAATGGATACCATTTTGATTGAATAATGGTATCATATTGATTCTATTTTTGTTAGCTCCAAATTTTTAAACAAATAGTAATTATACAGTGTCGACCCTGATGTTCTTGGCCTTGGGAACTTGAGCTGCAAGCGCAGCACAGTGGTTTGGTGCTTGCCCAGCACCAAAGGCCCTGGGTTCCACTCAGCACTGCAGACAAAACAGAACGCCTGCAGAAAACTGAGGCACACAAAAACCTGTTCAGCTCTGTTTTGAGATAAAAGCTTTTTCATTTAATCATAAATAAAGGTATATGTTCTTGGACTGGGATTACCCATTTTTGGAGGAAAAATAAAAGCAAGGGGGAGATTTTTCATAAGAATGGCAGTGGAGCCAAGTGAGATTTCCTGATGCCAGCTGGGCATGGTGGGGTATCTCCATAATCCCAGGAAATGCTCGGGCAGGAGGTTCACAAATCCAAGCCTGGCCAGGGTCACTTAGGGAGACCATCTTTTAAAACAGAAAGGGCTGGGAATGTAGTGCAGTATGGAGACCCTGAGTTCAATCCCCAGCCACCCCAGCCCAAGAAGTAGACTAAAATTTAGAAATACCAGAATTCTGTTACCTTAAGATTTTTACTTACTGTAAGGGAAAAAATGTTTTTCCATCTAATGTGATTTGTGTGCCAATTAACATAAACTTACTGGTTTATTTTATCCAGACAAGGTCTCTCCTGGGTGTATTTGAAGAAGATGCTACAGCTATTTCCAACTATATGAACCAGTTGTATCAAGCTATGCATAGGATTTATGATGCTCAGGTAAAAATACAAACGAAACTTTAAGCCCATGTCTTGCTTTACTGTGGGTGAGCAGTACTTGTGAAAAGGATGATGAATGTTAAGTACATTGCATTATAGAGCTCACCTTTCATCACATTTTACACAAGTGACAAGATTGAAGCATCTGTCCCTTCTTTTTTTTTTTTTTTTTTGTCTTTTTCCTTTTTATCGGTACCAGGGATCGAACTCAGGACTGCCTGCTTGCAAGGCAGGCACTTATGCCTGCTGAGCTAAATCCCCAGCCCCACATCTGTCCCTTCTTTAGACAGTAAAGGCCTTTTCACTGCAACTCAGGGCTACGTCCCCTTTCTGAGCAGAGGATTTGAAAGCAACCTGTCTGTCTAGTTAGTAAGGTAATAAAAATTAATACAGCTTTGGAGTGTAAGGGGATGAACCAGGAAGGCCATGAGTAGGTTGTCTTGAAGGATAGATACAACACTTAGGTTTGTATAACTCAGTTACAAATTGTAACAGTAACTTGGGTTCTGTGATACACTTTTTTTGGGACTAATCAAATACCCAAGTTTGTTCCTGTGTTCTTCTCTCCTTTCTGGATTCATGTTTTTAAAAGTTGCTATGATAAGCAGGCCTGATGATGCATGCCAGTAATTTCAGCGCTGAGGGAGTCTGAGGTGGGAGGATAGAATGTTTATGTTCCTCCTGGGCAATTCGGGAAAAACTTACTTAAAATAAAAAATTTAAAGGTTTGGGAATGTAGCACAGTGGTAGAGCATCTTTAGTTTCTACCACTATCACTACCACACACACACACACACACACACACACACACAAAAGATAAAAACGTTGCTATGACCAAGTGTGGTGGCAAAAACCTATAATCCCAGTACTGAGGAGGCTGAAGCAGAATTGCCACAAATTCAAGGCCAGCCTGGGCTATCTAGTGAGTTCAAGGCCAGCCTGAATTAGAGAGAGAGAGACCCTGTCTCCAAAAAATCAAAAGGTTGCTATGATAGTTGTTTGTGTTTTCCTTGTCTCAAATTTTTGGCTGCAAATAGTTAATATATGAAAAAAATATTTTTGCTATTATATTTTTCATTGAAAAAGAAACTTTGGAATGAAAAAGTATTAGATATGGCTGTGTTATGAGTAAGTCAGCCACATTTTGGTTGCTTTTGGTTTTGTGTTGTGAGACAGGGTCTTGCTGTGTAGTTTGGCCTTGAGAGCACTCGTTTGGGATTCACAACAGTCTGCCTTCCTTCACCACCTGGGAGCGAGGGTCAAAAGTGTGCGTGTCACACCTGGCTTGGTTGTCTGTTACTGAGTGCTTAGGAGAGTCTGCTGTCAGCATCTGGAGACAATAAGAGTCACTGTAGAATTTCTATAAAGATCTTGTTAAGGTTGTGTACAATTTACTTCTAGCTTTAAAATATTTAATGCTTAGTTTTTATTAGCCAGACAACAATAGCCAAAAAGAACACATTATTAAATACCCGTGTTACAGTAAATGAAGTGGCCTGGTTACCTTAAGTTAAAACTTGTCTTGATAATACTGTACTAATGTGAGTGCCAATCTTGTTCTGTAGAATGAATTAAGTGCAGCAACACACCTGACTTCGAAACTCTTAAAAGAATATGAGAAACAGGTATGTACCTCTGAGTTTTAAATCAATGCTGTAACCTGCACATTGATGCAGTGTTTGCGCAGTGGACTTTCTCATCAAGAACCCTTAAGCCCTGGCAGGGTGTGGTGGCACATGCCTGAATTCCCAGTGTCCTGAGAGACTGAGACAGGAGGATGGCAGATTTGGAAGTCTGAACCCAATCTAGGCTGCTTAGGGACCTGTCTCAAAAGAAAAAATTAAGAAGGCTGACGCTGTGAGCCTGTGTGAAGGCTCTGGGTTCATTCCCTCATACTACTAGCAAAACAAAAAATTCTTTCAGTTTTCTTAAATTCGCAGAATACACTGCTGCTATATTGAGATAGTTTTAATGATTTTATGTTAGATACAGGGGTATCTTGTTTATTTTTATAAATTAAGAAACAGGCTTGCTTAAGGTTACATGGCTAGTTACTAGAGGAACTGGAGTTAAGCCCAAATTCTTAGAACTCCCAGGGTTATTGCATTGTGATATAAATGTTAGTTGGTCACTTAGAAACATTTAAATTAATGTTCATTAATTACTAAAATGATCGGGGGGCTCAGTGGCTTAAGTGTCTACCTGGCAAATGTGAGGTTGTGAGTTTGATCCTCACTACAAAAAAAAAAAAAAAGATAAAGATATTATTAAAATGATTGTGCTTCGGGGCTGGGGATTTAGCTCAGCAGCATAAGCGCCTGCCTTGCAAGTGTGTGGTCATGAGTTCGATCCCTGGTACTGGTAAAAAAGAAAAAGACAAAAAAATATGATTGTGCTTCATTAAGACAACATTTTTGGAGCTTATTCAAATTTAGAAGTTTTCTGGCTACTAAAAAATGGAAATTATGATGTTATTCACAAAATTCACACAGTGTTAGACTTTGCTCTCTGTTTCTTTCTAGCGTTTCCCTCTGGGGGGTGATGATGAGATTATGAGCTCTACTTTACAGCAGTTTTCGAAAGTTATAGATGAGGTGAGTGTTTCTTTCCCCTGAAAAAGCATTCCCATAATCACTTAGGTCATTAAGCTTCAATTACGAACTTTTATTATGATGATAGGATTAAAGACTACTAAAGAAGGGTCTTATGTCCACATGCCTAGTTGCTGTCTCATAAAACAATACTTTTTTTATCCATTCAAGCAAATCGTCTTCCAGAAATAAACTTAGAGATGGGCTTTCCCTGCTCTCAGTCCATGTGTCACCCACTGTGGCACGGGCAGGGAAAGAAGGATGAAGCTGTGAGCCGTTCTAAGCCTTTTGTGGTTTTTCTTTCTCCATGAAGCAACATTTACTGGTATTATTAGTTATTGTTAATATTATTAATTATTAACATTAATATTAATTTTATTTTTATTAACAGACTACTTAGGAAAATACTTTATGAACGATTGTTCTTCAGCTTTAAAACTCCACAAGATGTGACCATTACTAGAACCTTTAGAACATGCTGAAGTGAATTGCCTTGCTGTCCGTTTCTGTAACAAAATTAGGAATATTCGGGTGTGGTGATGAACATCTGTAATCCAGCTCTCAGGAAGCTGAGGCAGGAGGATTGCCACGAGTCCAAGGCCAGCCTAGACCACATAAGTGAGTTCAAGGCCAGTCTGGACTACATAGTGAGACCCTGTCTCAAAAAAACAACCTCCCCCCAGAAAAAGTAATATAAGAAAGGGTAATTAAGTAGAATAAACATTTAGGACATTGGAAAACACGTAAGCCAAAAAAATTTTACATTTTTGTATTGTCCAGTCCTTATTAATCCTTCCATCCCAAACAGCAAAATCAACCCTTAATTTTTTTAAACCATTCATCACAACAAATCATTGAAGAAAAATACCAAAAAACCTGGAAGCTAGCATGAGAAATGTATGGAAAATGTTAATATTCTCAACTGTTGCAGTAAATGGTCTTTTTTTGGGCAAGAAACAGTAATACTGCCTTTTGTAGTCATTTTAACTGGATGTATATGCGTGCTGTATATATAACACTGGCCAATTCAGAAACATTACCTCATAATAGATTATCCTAGCAAATTAATACAAAGAATACCAGAAATGGAATGCTTTCCATTTTAAAAAATTGTGTTAAATGCTTAATAAAATTTGCCACTCAGGAGATTTAGTATGTTTATAATGTTGTGCACCCTCATCACTCTAGTTTAAACAAGTTTCACCGTCTCAAGGGAAACTATTTGGTTTTTAAGGGTTACTTTCATCTTTCTGCTCCCCCTAGTTCCTGCAACCACTAGTATACTTATATATACACACACTTTCTGTCTTAATAGATTTTCCTGTTTGTATATTTAATATAAATGGGCACTTTTAATTTATGGACTTTTATGTGTATCTTCCATTATTTAGCACGTGTTCAAGGTTTATTTGTGTTACAGTACGAGTCAGCACTTAATTCTCTTTTTTTGGCTGAATAAATTTTCATCACATGGATATTCCACATTTCGTTATCCATTTGTTATAGATATTTGGATTTCTACCTTTTGGCTAGTTGAAATAGTACTATAGCATTCATACCCAAGGTGTATTTTGTAGGACACTAGTTTTCAGTTCTTTTGGTTATATACCCAGGGATTGCTTGAGCAGATGGTATTTTGTGATTAACCTTTTTTTTTTTAAGGCAAGGTCTTACTATATTGTTCAGGGTGGCCTTGAACTCACTGTGTAGCTCAGCCTGGCCTGGACACTCAGTGATCCTCTCACCTTGGCCTTGTGAATGGTGGGATTACTGGCAAGCATCACTATACCCAGCTATGTTTAACTTTTTGAGGAACCCAAATTTTTTTTTTTTAATTTACATTTATTTATTTTATTTTATTTTATTTTTGCTTTTCTTGAGACGAGGTCTTGCCATGACTGGCCTTGAGCTCACTTTGTGGTCTCAAATTTGCAATGATCCTTTTGCCCCAGCCTCCCAAGTGCTGGGATTACAGGTATATACCACCATGCTCGGCTTTTAAATTCTATTTTAAAGAGAAAAACGAAAACAACATTTCAAAACGATAGGAGAGTAACATTGGTCAATTCATTGCATATGGTGGTCTTGTTTTTATTTTGAGCCAGGGTCTCACTATGCAGTTTGAGCTGGCTTTGAATTCACTTTATAGCCCAGGCTGGTCTCAGACTCACAATGATCCTCCTGCCTCAGCCTCCCAAACACTGGGGTTGTAGGTGTGAGCCACTATGTTCAGCTTTGCATATTGTTATCTTTAAATCAGTTACTCAGGGGCTAGGGATTTAGCTCATTGGCATAAGTGCCTGCCTTGCAAGCAGGCAGTCGTGAGTTCGATCCCCAGTACCGGTAAAAACGAAAAAGACAAAAAAAAAAAAAAATCAGTTACTCAGAGTACAAGATCACACTTTTATAGTGCTCGTATCATTTACATCCCCCAGAGCAAGGAGCGAGGCTCTACTTTTACTACATCATTGTTCCCCACAACTTTGTTTTTAATTTCCCCACTACTGGGGATTGGACCCAGGGCCATCATACTGAGGTATACCCCGAGATCTCTATTTCATTTTGAGACTTGATCTCACTAAGTGACTAAGTTGCTCCGGCTGGGCTTAAACTTGCACACTGTGACCCTCCTTCCTCAGCCTCATGGAGTGTGTGGCAAGTTATAGGTATGTACCACTATACCCAGCTCTTTGTCCGTTTTTTTAGTTGAGTTATTTGTCTTGCAAGAGTTTTTATTCTGGGTGCAAACTTATTGGCTATATTATTGGTAAATGTCTTATTCTATTATGTGTCTACTTTTTTGATAGTATCATTTGATGCACAGAAGTTTTTAACTCTGATGAGGTCCAACTGTTTTTTTTTTTTTTGGTACCAGGGATCGAGCTCATGACTGCGCGCTTGCAAGACAGGCGCTTATGTTGCTGAGCTAAATCCCTAGCCCAGAAGTCCAGTTTATAGTCTCTTTTGTTCCTTGTGCTTTTGTTATAGCTAAGACCATTGCCAAATCCATGATCTCCTTAAGTTTTAAGTTAAGTTTTAAACAAAGTTTTGATTGCACAATATTTTATACCCGTAACAGAGTTTTCAGTGTTTTCTTATTCAAAATGTCAGCCTTTTAAGGAATTTTGGTTCATTTGCATAAGACTGGTAAAATGTCTCTACAGACATGTATTATAAATGTTATCTGTTAGTTATTTAGCCTTTTTGGTCTTCTTTTTTCTAACTAGCTTAGCTCTTGTCATGCGGTACTTTCGACTCAACTTGCTGATGCCATGATGTTCCCCATTACCCAGTTTAAAGAAAGAGATCTTAAAGGTATTGAAGTCAAGCTTATGTTTTTCATCAGTTGTCAGATGACCAGTGCTTGTAAAATGTGTGTTCTGTACCAAATCATTTCTGACCGCCACGTCTGCCGCTTTTACTTAAATCAGGCTCCAAATGTTTATAGGCACTCTTGATAGGTAATGAGGTAGGAACTGAAACCAGTGGTAAGAAGTCCTGCCTCATAAAATCCTAGAGAAGGAGATGGATGAGCACACAGTGGGGCTCATAATTAGGGAAAGGTAAAGCACCTTGGGCTCAGAGTGCAGGCTCAGAAAGGTTCATGAAAGATGTGAGCCCTGAAGAGTGGGGAGGAATTTGCCAGGAGTGAGTCATGGTCCTGTTAGATGAACTGGAATGCACGGAGGTACTGGTTTGAGAAATACTTAGCTTGTTTTGAGGATAATAGGAAATTCAGGGTGGCTGCAGTGTTGGATTTACAGTGCTGGGATGAGGTAGGAGAGAATTTAGAAATAGATTACAGCATGCTAAAGAGCATGAGTCCTCGAGCAAAGAGAGCCCAGTGGAGGTATTTAAGAAGTAAATAGGTAAAAGTTTTTGTTTTTTGGGAGGAAGAAATAAAGTAGATTTTGGGTGTAGGAGTCTGGACTAAGATGTTGTCACAGTCCAGTGATGTACGACCAAGGCCTAAACTTGGGCTCCGGCAGGGAGTAGAGAGGCTGGACATCTCACATCTTAGTGGCTTAGTAGTTTGTGGATTTTTTTTTGCCCATTTACTGTTTCTAGGTGATAAAATGAGGGTGGTGTTGTAGTGGATCTTTCTTTTCACAGTTTATAAATTCAATTGTGTAGACTGATTTCTAAAATATATAGATAGAATAGAAACAATGAACTAATAATGTATTAGTCATTTGTAAAAAAATTAAACTGTATACAGAATAAAGACTGATGTATTGCTGCAATGGAGTAAATAATTTTAATGATCCTTTTGAATGGTATTTCCAAGGTCAAGAAACAGGTTTTTTCCTCTATAAGGGGACCAATTGACCTAATCTTATTAATAAGATGTACTTTTCTCCCATTCAACATTTGAAATTATTAGTCATATGTCAAAAAATGAATTAGTAAGCACTAAGAATATTTGCATATTGTAACGTAATAATAGGTTTTTAAAATTTGTTTCATGTTACATTATTTATTTGTATCAAGTAGATTTTTTTGTAATGTTTCATAGACTAGCTGATACCTATAGTAATTTGCACTTAAGTCTAGAAGTATAAAATATTATTTAGAGCTTTAATTGTAGTTTCAGTGGCATTTATTGCTTTGTAAACAAATATTAAGGTATTTCATAAATATGCTAAACAGAAGTTATTCTTGAACCTTTTCAGAAATTCTAACATTGAAGGAAGTGTTTCAGATTGCTAGTAATGGTAAGCCCTTTTTTCTGAATACTTTATACACTTACTTTTTTATTGATACATTTATCAGTTTAGAGCATGGTTGATTCTTTGTAATAATTGAAGAAAATGAACATAATCCAAACTTTAAGTGCATGTTATTTAACTCAATGTTACTTGAATACCTTGTTTAGAGAAAAAATTAAATGGCTTATTATATTAGTCTTCTAGTTTACTATCTTCATAATTTCCAAAAAGGTGATACAGGGGGCTGGGGATTTAGCTTAGCGGCATAAGCGCCTGCCTTGCAAGCAGGCAGTCGTGAGTTCGATCCCTGGTACTGATAAAAAGGAAAAAGACAAAAAAAAAAAGGTGATACAATACTTAGCCTTCCAAAAAAATACAAAAAACACACTTTACCTTCCATGCTGTGCATGGTGGTACATGCAGTAATCCCAGCACTTGGGAGGCTGAAGCAGGAGGATTGCCACGAGTTCAAGGCCAGTCTGGGCTACATAGTGAGTTCAGGGCCAGCCTGGACTACATAGTGAAACCCTGTCTCTAAAAGCACCTTGGAATTTTTTTACCATTTTGATAAGTAGACACACAATTTAAGGGGAACTTGGCTGTGGGGAAGTTTGAGTATGATGATCACATGGTAGGGAAATCTTGGTTAGTACATTTAGAGAAAGCTATGTGTGTGAGGGACATTACAGCATTCGTGAGCTTTGCAGCGCACTGTCGTTTGGTTGTCAACACTCCTTTCTCCCTTCTAGATCATGATGCTGCAATTAACAGATACAGCCGATTGTCCAAGAAAAGAGAAAACGATAAGGTGGGCTACGCACAGGCTCTCTCTCAGATAAGTCTCTTGCTATAGGCGGTTTCCCAGTCTAGGAATAGAGCCAGGGATTCACATGTATGTTTGGTTGGGTTTAGTTGATGTTTTGAGGCTAGGTCACTGTACAAATAGCCTGGAAAGTTGTGTTAGAAGAAATGAGCAGCCACCAAAGAATTGTGAGTTGGGAAGGGGAACAATGTAGTTGTGTTGTAGAACAGAAAAATTAATGAAGACGCCAACAGGCCAGGACCAAAGGGAATCCAGTGAAAAGCTTTTGGGATAGTTTGCAGAGATATAATAACGGTCTCAGAGGAGGAGAGGCACTGTGGATTGACCCCAGGAGTGCTCTGCCACTGAGCTACACTCCCAATGCATTTTCCTTTTTATTTTTATGTTTTTAATTTTTTTGCTTCTTGAGATGTGATTTGCTTTGAAATCCAGGCTGGCCTTGAACTATGTAGCCCAGGCTGGTCTTGAACTGTCAGCAATCCTCTTGCTCCAAGCCTTCAAAGTGCTGGGACTGCAGGTGTGTGTGGCCATGCCTGGCTTTGTTCTTAATGTAATTTTAATTTTAGTTTTTACATTAGATTTTATTGGTATGTATAATGATCACATTCATCTAAGAGGATTTGCACCTGTTCATGATTTAACTTGTTTTGTCTTCCTCATTTCCCTTCCCCATTCCCTTCAGCTCCTCTGCCCCTTATTTTTTATTTTGATGTAGGGTCATATTAAGTTGTCCAGGCTGGCCTTGAACTTTCAGTCCTCTAGCTGGGATTAAAGGTGTGTGCCACTACTGACTGGGAGGTACTTCTTGAGCAGAGGCTTTTGGTTAAGGGGAATAAAATATGAGTGTTAGATTACTTAGATAATTGATAGATCCTGGAGTAATTAAGAGAGCTAAGAAATAAAACAGGAGAGCAGGTTTTTTGGGAGGAAACATTATGGCCATCTGTTTTGTAGATGTACAGTACATAAACACATGTATTCCACATGTCACATCAGCTGGAGACACGGTTCCTCTGCCAGAGTGAGGACAGGAGATAAAAATTTGTGATCACTAAGTGTTACCTTGGAATATTCTTGATCAGGAATTCTAAGAAAGGGAAGACTCTAATGCATATTATATAGTAAGTGTTCAGTACAAATATGCTGTCTGAATAAAAGAACTTGGAACACAGTTTAAGAATGCGTGAAGGAAGACAAGCAGGTAGGTAGAGAACCAGGAGGGAGAACATGTGCTGTGAACTGCCAAAGTCGGAGACCAGGGGAAGTCAGTAACACTTGTTTGCCTTTCTTCCACGTGGCAGACTTTCTCTGCCATAGCTATTTTAGATATTCACATCTTTAATGATTTTCAGATAGGCATCTTACTAATGATGTGGCTGGGAGTTAAACAGGAAAATCAGCTTAGCTAGTGTATTGAAGGATTTCTAATAGATCAGAAAACAAAAGTTATGGCAAATTGTAATGATAAAAGTATTTCCCTTGGCAGGTTTTCCCCCATAGACACTGCTGAAGATATTCCCAAATTAAGTGCATAATAGTGTCTTAAATCTTTTCTTTCAAAGGTAAAGTATGAAGTGACAGAAGATGTGTACACTTCCAGAAAAAAGCAGCACCAGACCATGATGCATTATTTCTGTGCATTAAACACTCTTCAGTACAAGAAGAAAATAGCACTGTTAGAACCTCTGCTGGGGTACATGCAAGCTCAGGTGCGTGCCGTACTGTATTTTGGATTATAACTGCTCTGAAAGAGGGATGTCAAGCTTGATATTTACAGTAAATATAAAAATACTATCAGCAGTTGCCAGTATCCTCACTTGTGTTTGGGTTCTAAATAATTTTAAAATGTCATCACTGTACTACGTTAAGGAAGCTGAAGAGAATCATTTTCCCTTGGAAATAAAGATTCCAAGTGTTTCGGGGTATATGAGGTCACTTACATTATATTCTGTGCTTGTTCACCCCAGCTGGGAACGGGAGCAGAAAACTAAGTGAATCACACAGCTTTGCCTATTGCTGGAGTGTCCACTTGCTCTTGTTGTGTGATCTGGAAGAGAATAAACACGTTTGAGTTTGTTCCGTGTTCCCGAATTAAAAATTTAGATAAACTCTAAGGTGCCCGAAGAGCTATGCATCAGGAAGGAAGCTAGAAAATTGAGTTCTGAGCAGTGTGAGATAAGATGTTAATTCCTTACAAGTCACGAACTTAAAGAAACTTGAATATTCATTATTATTCCTCAGATGTAAAACTTACACTGTAGTAACATGAAATAGTTAATAAATCCATATGATTTATTTAAATTGCTCTAAAATTTACTTATCATACATTTGCATGAGTTTTCTGTTGCAAAGTATTAGAGGATGTGCCCTAGAATTAAATCCCAGTTTTCTTGGCTTTGCAAACTGTAACCTATTAGTACATAAATTGAAGGAAGGGTTTTGTTGTTGTTTTTACTTAACCATGTACCTCAGGGATTGTTGATATGATTTATTTAAAGATTTAAGTAAATTTTTATATGTGTTTGTCCTTGTACTCATTCTTCCTTCATTTCAGATAAGTTTCTTTAAGATGGGTTCTGAAAATCTCAGTGAACAACTGGAAGACTTTTTAGCTAATATTGGAACAAGTGTGCAAAAGTAAGTATTATTTCCTTAAGACTGAAAATTAAGTGTAGTGAAGAAGTTAATAGCTAAATGCCAGAATTTAGCAGTAGTATTGCTTAATTTCCTGAGGAGTATTTCCTCTGCTGCGTTTCTCACATGGTTCTTTTTGGGAGGTGGGGTCCTGGAACCTCACAGTTGCCAGCAGGCATTTCCACAGGATCTGAGGCTGCTGCTTCCCTCTTCCCCCCACCCTCCCTAACCCTCCCACCTCCCTCCTGCTCCCCTGTCTCCTCCCCTCCCCTCCCCTCCCCTCTCCTTCCCTCCTCTCCTCTCCTCCTTTTCTCTAGGATATAAACTTGTTTTGTTTTTTGAGATGTTTTACTTCGTAGTCCAGGCTGGTCTTGAACTCACGGCAGTCCTCCTGCCTTAGTGTCCCAACTGATAGGATTACAGGCCTGTGCTACCATGTCTGGTTTAGAATATAAACTCTTAATTTTGTAACAATATCAAACTTAAAAGTTTTTCAGGACTTGCTCTTATATTTGGATAAAATAGACACATAGTAGTCATTACCCATGAGTGAGGTTTTCTTCACACTGTGATGTGGGTTACGCTTGGAAGATCACATGCTAACTCTGCTTTTACGCCATCAAAGCCTAGAGAAAGTAATGTTCTCATCGAGTTTGAAAGTTTGAGCAGTAATGTGGGCTGTCATAGGTTTGGAGAGAGATGAAGGTGATTTTTTCTTTCCCTTTGGCCTGTGCTGGAGATCAAACTCAGGGCCTCAAGCATGGTAGGCAGGTGCTGGACCACTGTGTTCTATCCCTGACCCTGAGAATGATTGTGTTTTGTGTGTGTTTTCCTGAGACAGGGTCTTGTTTTATAGTTGAGGCTGGCCTTGATCTGTTAGCAATCCTCCTGCCTCAGCCTTCCAAATGCTAGGATTACAGGTGTGTACCACCATACCTAGTAATGATTATATTTTAAAGGCATAGGACATAGCAGTTTGATAAGTTTCAGAGTGAGGAATTTAGCATGGCTTCTTTAGTTTTTTAATTTAATATTGTTTTCAAAATATTTTCTTCATATCATTTGAACTACCTGTGCCACTGCTTCTCTCTTTAAGAAAATATGTACAAAACAAATATATAGGGAAAAAGAAGCAACAAAACACCAAATATGTAGGTAACCCTGATTGCTAAGTGTCCTTATATTGGTTGACTGATCATAAGTAATCTGTTGTCTATTTCAGTGTTCGCAGGGAAATGGACAGCGATGTAGAGACAATGCAGCAGACGATAGAGGACTTGGAAGTGGCCAGTGACCCTTTGTATGTGCCCGACCCAGACCCCACCAGATTTCCTGTTAATCGAAATTTAACCCGGAAGGCTGGATACCTTAATGCTAGGAAGTAAGAAAAGTGTTGCTATTTTCATATACTGTATGTCTTGTAATATGAAATGAATAAAATGCATAGTTGATCTTTGTCTGCCAAGTGCTTTGATTTTACTGAAGGTAAATTTTTTAGTGGGATTAGTATTTATGGGAACTTGTTGACATGTGCAGTACATGAATACATTTCAAAGTAAAATTCTACCTAAGTATTTGTTGCATAATTTAGAGGGTTTTTTTTTTTTTTTTTTTTTAGTACCAGGGATCAAACTCGTGACCTCATGCTTGCCAGGCAGGTGCTTTTGCCCCTTAGCTAAATCCCAGCATCCTTAATTTAGAGTTTTAAAAAAATGAAACTAATTTGAGCTTCAATCTATCACAATGTGAATACTATTACATATCATTTACATGCTTTAAAATACACATTTTGACAATATCAAGTCAGATTTTATTACCCAAAAGGTAATAAAATAAAATAAAATTTTTCCTTTTGAATTTATTTCCTTGGAATTTTGGACTATAACTTAAATTTTATGGATCATCATTATAAAATAGCTACAATTTGATAATTTCCAGCCTTGGTTTGGTAACTGCACACATTGAGACATAAATTCGTGTAGAGACTATTATGTTTTGTTGACACATTGGTGCCTCTTTTGCAACATGTGTTGTCTTGTGGTTGGCTGATAAGGTCGTCTTAGGTGTGTCACTATTAAAACATGAATGTACTTTCTTCATTTAGTAAAACAGGCTTGGTGTCATCTACTTGGGATAGACAGTTTTACTTCACGCAGGGTGGAAACCTAATGAGCCAAGCCCGTGGAGATGTGGCCGGAGGCCTCGCCATGGACATAGACAACTGCTCAGTGATGGCCGTGGACTGCGAAGACAGGCGCTACTGTTTTCAGATCACCTCTTTTGATGGAAAAAAGTTAGTATTTCTTTCTACAGCTAGTAAAATCTCTACTACATTAAGCTACTGAAATGCAAGATAATTCCTTTTGTTAGAAATGATATAGACATTTTATTTTATTTTATTTTATTTTATTTTATTTTATTTTTTGTCTTTTTCATTTTTATTGGTACCGGGGATCGAACTCACAACCGCCTGCTTGCAAGGCGATAGAGACATTTTAGATTCACTATGTGTTATGGTAATTTGGTTTTTAATCTTACAGAAATCAGTGAATTTTCTGACTTGGGCAAATAGCAGTTTACCTATGATTGCATATTAGACTGGTCATTGGAAATCTTGCGTGGTGTGGGGAAGCTGCGTAAGTAAGATTGCCAACTGCAGGGTCATAAAGCCCCAATCCGGATTCCCTGTTTACTTTGCTAAGACAAGTTACTTTCTCCTCCAGTCTTTGTTATGAGCTGTGTAAATTGTAGGTATGGTTAGTAATTCCCACTTTTAAATGATAGGGAGAATAGAAGTCATTGTGTGCTCAGCATGTAAGGGGTATTAAACAGTGTCTGTCAAATGTTAATCAGATATTCTGATCAGACTTTTCTGTCCATTAATGTTTATGACATCCTATAAAAATCTTAATACCTTTCCATTAAATGAAAATCTAGGGGCTGGAGATTTAACTCAGGTATACAGTGCCTGCCTGGCAAGTGTGAGGCTGAGTTTGATTCTTGCTAGCCACAAAAAAAAAAAAAAAAAAAAAGTAAAAAAGAGAAAATCTATAAAGTAGTGCATAAAACAGTTTTTGAAAAACAGAGAAATTTAAAAAGGAGTTAGGGTCACTGGGTATGGTGGCACATGTCTGTGATCCATCACTGAGGAGGCCAAGGTAGGAAAATTAAAGGTTCTAGTCCAGCCTGGGTGGCTGTCACATAATAAAGAATTTAAAAAGGATTGGGCCGTAGGTCAGTGTGAAAACCCTGGGTTTATACCTCTGTACCACACCAATGCCCCCAAAACCCAAAATGGGGTGGGAGTGGGGGAGAACAATTAAAATTTTATTAACCAGAAGAAAAAAAACCCAGTTAACTTGTGTTTTTTGCCTTCCAGTTTTTATCTTGAGCATTTTTTTAAAAAATGGCATTGGGGAATGAATTGTGGGCCTTTGTGCTGGCCTGCAGTCCCAGCTGTTTCTTAATTTCTTGAAATTTTGTGACAGTATCTTGAAACGTTGCCCAGGCTGGCAGGGAAGCTGTGATCCTCTTGCCTCAGCTTCCTAGAGAGGTAGAATTACAGGTGTATGCCACCACACCCAGCCTTAGGCACAATCTAAAGATTGAAATTATATGTTCATATTGAATTTGCAGCCACTTGTTAAAAACATCTCGTAATGGTTGGAATATAGTGTTTGTAAACACATTTGTTACAATGATAACCTCTTTTTTTTTTTTTTTTTTTGGTACCAGGGATTGAATTTACGACTTTGCGTTTGCCAAGCAGGCATTTACGCTGCTAAGCTAAATCCCAGCCCAGCACATTTGTTATAATTTAAACATTTTCCTAATGATGGATATTTAGGTTACCTGTGAGTCACCCTCAATTAAATGTTAATTTTGACCTTTGAACTTAACATTTCAGAGCAGCCTCTGGGTTCCCAGAAAGTCAGTTTGCCCCTGGGAATTTGTATATATACAAATTAAGATATTTTGAGGCAGTTACAGAAGGACATGTCTGAATCTGAGCTATCAGAAAATTGAGGCAGGGGGATGGTATATTCCAGGTTAGCCTGAACTCTGTCTCAAGAAAAAAAAATCATGAAAATAAATAAATTCAGTCTTTACCCTTTAAAAATAGATAGTACAGCCAACTAACTTATCAAAATCATTGTTTCCAAACCATGTGGTAGTACACACCTGTAATCCCAGCTCTCAGAAGGCTGAGGCAGGAGGATCACTGCAAGTTCGAGACCAGGCTGGGCTACAATGTGAGCTCAAGGCCAACCTGAACTGCATAGTGTGAGACCCTGTCCCAAAAAGACAAAAAAAAAAAAAAAAAAAAAAAGTAAAAAGTACTTTTTTGTAACCTGAAATATTAACATCTAGCTGGGTGTGGTGCTGGGTGTGGTGGTGCATACTCATAGAGCCCTTGGGAGGCTGATGATTGCAGTAAGTTCAGGGCCCTTCTGGGTACGTAAATGAGTTCAAGGCCATATGAGACCCTGCCTCAAGAAAAACCAGCTCTCCCCACCCTAGATATTAACACCCACAGAAAAGCCAAACATTACATTATTGTTAGTGAGTCCGCATATTGACATCTTGATTTAACAGTATTAAAGGAGAAACTAACAATAATGGGGTTACTATTTTTCTTTTCTTTTTTTGAAGCTCCTGTTTTCTAGGATGGTCACTGATACAGGCACCAGAACTTCTGATGCCTTCTCAGCTGTAGCATACTTTCATATTCTAAGGACCTGCGCCTACTTCTGCTATTGCTGGGTCTTGGTCTAGACAGTGAAAGTCAGAGCTGTTAAAAGTTTTAGGCCTAATGCCTCTGGTGGTATTCTTTTCTTAAAATACTGATTGTGCTTTTGTTTATTTTGAATTGTGGCTGAAGCTTTTTTTTTTTTTTTTTAGATCTTCAATTTTGCAAGCAGAGAGTAAAAAAGACCATGAAGAGGTAAACTTTTTAGTTAACTTTTTTTTTTTTTGATGCTAGAAATTGAACTCAGGACCTTGTGCTTCCCAGGCAGGTGTTGAGCTAAATCCCTAGCTATTAGTTTATTTCTCTTTTTTGGTAACAGGGATTGAACTCACGACCTCGAGCTTGCCAGGAAGCCGCTTGTGCTGCTGAACTAAATCCCCAGGCCCTTTAATTGATTTCTTAAGCCACATTTAAAAATACTTACCTGGACCAGAGATTTAGCTTAGTAGCACAGTGCCTGCTTGGCAAGTGCAAGGTCCTGCGTTTGATTGCTGGTACCAAAAACAAAAGAAATAAAATTTTTCTGAGGGTAAAACATTAATGTGATCATTGTAGAAATTTTGGAAAACCCAGTAAGTTAAAAATGTCTTTTAGTCTTTTTGCTTTCAGTCAACATTTTCAAGTTTCTCATAGGATTTTATAGTTGGAGGGACCTTTAAAGATAAATGTTCTGCTCTCTTAAAGGCACAAATTCAGCAGTGAATGTTGCTTCTATCCGGCTGTTAGTGTGGTGAGGGAACAGTTTAGTTTATTCTTTCTTCTCTCTTGGCAACCCTTGGAGATGCTATTTGCTGAAGCGAGTGGTGGAAGCAGCTACAGCTCAAAACCCTGGGGAAGTCAAAGACAGAAAAACAGAACTCCGGGAGCCTCTGCTCCTCGTCAGCCTTTCCACCCTTACTCTTCCTGTACCAGACACAGACGGTGGAGTCCTCCCACGGACTTAGATTTCAGAATGTAAATATGCTTCCATGAAAACACACCATAGCTTGAATTTTAGCCTTTTAATCAAGTATTCTAGTTGTGCTGGTTCAGAAAGGTTGGAAACTGGTAGAGATCTACCTTTATTTACTTCTCATGGAAGAGAGTGCTTGCTAAAATTTGCTTTTGGTATCTGAGGAACACAGACAAATATCTCTGCTCTCTGTGATTTACCAAACAAAGTCTTAGATTAGTGAGGAGGCTTATCAGGCACTGAAATCCTTGCGTGTGAAGCAGAAGATATGGAAGAGAGAATATTGTCTGTGTTGAAGGAGAGAGGTATGTAAAATACATTCGCCAGGAGGATATTTAGATATTTATCCTTCTTTTTTTTTGGTGGTGTTTATCTGAGTTCAGACTTTTATTTGTTGAAAGTTAAGGAAGGAAGTAACGTAAAAAGGTAAATACAGACTATTAAATTGTAATTTAGCATGATTGCTATATTTGTACTTTATGGAATAAAACCAGGATTTTAAAATTAATCTGGTGCATGCACTCTTATACACATATATTTATAGCGAGATTTTTGCCTGGTTTTGTTTTATATTTGATGCTGGGGATTGAAGCCAGCCTGGAGCATGCTAACCTGTGCTCTTCAGCTGACTGCACCCCAGCCCCCAGGTAAAAACTCGGATTTTTTTTGTTTTGTCTTTCTGAGATGGGGTCTCTTTAGGTGGTTCATGCTGGCCTTGAGCTCACTTTGTAGCCCAGGCTGTTCCTGAACTTGCAACCGTACTGGTGCCTCAGCCTCCACGTGCTGGGATGACAGGAGTGTGCTTCCATGCTGGCTAAGACTGTATGCTACTTTTGATGAAATGTCTGTTGCTGTTGACTATTGGACACTCTCTGTTAGAAGAAAAACTGTTTTTTCAGTTCTGGGGATTGAATTCAGGGCTTCATGCTTACTAGTCAAGTGTGCTATTACTGAGCTACATCCCTAATGAATGTTGAAAAATATATTTAATCACATTTTTTCTGTTTTTTCTCTTGCAGTGGATTTGTACAATTAACAACATATCTAAACAAATATACTTAACAGAAAATCCAGAGGTAATATTTTTATTTTGCATTATCCAGATTTAGTGAAACTAATTCTGTGGCTACAGAGCTTTTAGGAGAGTCATAATTTCTCAGGTTTCATAATCTTTTGACTTCAAGCAGGTAGCTTTTAATTTATCCTGTATGTTCTGAGTGATCTTCTTGGAACAATGTATTATTTCAAAAGACAGTAAAATCACCCTGTCAACAGCTGGTTACTGGGTGTTGGCAGTTCAGCTCTGAATTGTATACAGGGCAGTAGGGAGATGTAGAAAAGCAAGCCATGGCCTTTGCCCTCTAGGAGCCGGTCCTTATGGTGAAATTGGAACTAAAACTTCAGCTGGACGTTGTAGCACATACCTGAATCCAGCATTCTGGGAGACTGAGGCAAGAGGATCACAAGTTCAGGTCAGCCTAGCTATTTAAGTGAGAAGATGAAAGGACTGGGCATGGAGCTCTGTCAAGGCCCTGGGTTCAGTAGAACAGAGAGTGCTCAAAACCGTGTGGTGATGACAAGAGGCTTATGTTTTGAAAATGTTGGCATCAGTGTGAATGTGAGCTTTAAAGGGTATTCTGTGATGTTGGAAATCTGTCTTAGAATTTGTGTTTTGAGAAAAAGAAACGACATAGCAAACAGAACCAAACCACAAATGCAGAGGTTTTTTTTTTCTGGTGTGTGTGTGGGAGGACAGGTTTCATTATATATTTCAGGCTAATCTTGAACTCATGTGTTTCAGGCTGGGCTTGAACTCACAGTGATCTCCTGCCTCAGCTTCCCAAGCGCTGAGTTTGCAGACATGAGCCACTGTGCTCAGTTTAGATATTTATTTTGAAACTAGTAGCATAATTAGAGGTTGTCAATAAAGAGTAATAGAGGACCAGGGATTTAGCTCAGCAGCATAAGCGCCTGCCTGGCAAGCATGTGGTCATGAGTTCAATCCCTGGTACCAAAAAAAAAAAAAAAAGTTAATAGAAAACAAATGTGCATAGAAATAAGTTGGGATCTTGTTAAAATACATATTATAATAGAGCCTGAACTCCTAGCATTGCAAATTATTCTTTGGTTGGCAAGCATATTAAACCTGATGAGTCCTGCAGTATAGACATAGCCATCAGGACAATCTAACCACACTAGGCATAGTAGCCAGTACCCTACTGTGGAAGGAATCAGGGGGATCCATACCGCGAAGAATGGAGTTGGGAAAAACATGGCCTTAGCACAGGAGCTGCCTAATCTTCAGTTCTTACTGACCTGACTGCGCTGTGACACAGTGTCTTCCAGAAGTGGCCAGAGGGTGATGCCAGCTGAAGGATTTCAGCTGGGAAAGCTTCACACTTCTAAATCTTCAACTACTGTTGAAATGCTGGGTCAGATGAGAGGGTCTAGACTAGTTGGCAGCTGATCTGTGTGAAAGTTGAAGGAGAAGCATAAAGTGAAGATGTCTTCCAGGTTCTAAACTTGGATGAAGGGAAGAGCAATTTGGAAAAGAAGTTTGATTTTATCAAAATGACTCTGAAGTGCCAGCCAGGACACAGAAATGCTCAGGAAGAAGTTTGAATTTAAGATAGAAAGTCTCATGACCTCTAAAATATTATATTTTATTTTATATGTATCGGGGATTGAGCACAGGGCTTTGCACTGAGCTATGTCCCCAGCCCCTTTCTTACTTTTAGACCAGGTCTTTCTAAGTGCTTTAGGCTAAGCTCAGACATGCAGTTCCTCCTACCTCAACCTTACAGAGTGCTGAAATTCCAGTGTTCATTTTATCCCCTCCAAAATCTTAGCAATTTGTTATTTTTAGCCAGGGATTTAGCTCAGTAGTATAACCCCTGCCTGGCAAGTGTGAGGTTGTGAGTTCAATCCTTGGCACCAAAATAAATAAATAAAATAAAATAAAATGAAATTTAAAAAAACCCAGATATTAGTAATTTGTTAGTTTTATAATAAGCTTGAGTTTGATATTAGAAAATTGGTACTAGTGGTAAATACACCCTTTGCTTTTAGTGACTTGCACTTCTTCCTGCCAATATGTTTTTCCTTTGGTAACCTGAGAGTAACAAAAAATAAAATCAAAATATAAATCTTTTTATTGTTTAGGGAATACCTAAGGAACACAGTGTTTACATTTGAATAATACATACCTATAGTTCTTTCCTGCCACTTATTAAAACTCTAATTGTTAGTATTTTCAGGTTATCCAGAATTATTACAGCTTTATTAATGAAAATGGAAGTTTTAATGTTTTGGGGATTACATTGTTAATTTTGTAAACTGTAAGACAGTTGTAAAACTGTTGTCATTTTTTTCTAATTTAAAGACTGTTGTAACAGGAAGGAAACAATTTTATTGTTTGTTGTCATTTTTTTTTTTCCAATTTAAAGACTGTTGTAGTCAGGGTTGCAAGGAAAACAATTTTATACAGGACACATAATTTATAGTGACATTTTATACTAGTTACCCCAGAGTCAAATGCAAGAAGTGCAGGAGATGTGCCTACATGGTAAAGACCTAGAGAATCCAGCAAAGGGCCTGGATCCCACAGCAGTGTCCTGCATGAGTCCAGTTGAAGACCTAGAGCCCAGGATAGTGCCCCCCACAAGTCCAGCTGGAGGCCTAGAACCCACGACAATGACTCATTTAAGTCTGTTTTACGAATCTGCCAGGAAGGTCCAAAGGTCAGCAGTGGAAGCTAGAAAGTCTGTGCCAGCAAAGTGAAGGAGCTGTGCCAGGAGGTTGAGGGTTTTGCACTGGAGTCAAGAAGCAACACTCAAAATAAGGACCAGGGCTCCTCCAAGAAGTACCACAGCTGTCCTCAGTGACAATAAGGTCCCGAGCTCCTCTAACGATGAGAACAGTCGAGTTCATATCAGGAAGCCAGCGGCTCTCTAGCAGATTAGTCAGAAGTGATGCTCAACATAAGGACCAGAGCTCACCCAAAGTGAACCACAGCTGTCCTCAGCGACAGTGAGGTACGGAGCTCCTCTGCTGATGAGAACAGCCGAGTTAGTATCAGGGCAGCTAGCATGAGTTCCTCCAGGAGAACCACAGCTCCAAACACCACCACTTAGGAGGACTGCGGTGCTGCTCTCTTCCTTTCCATTTCCCTTTTTGTGCAACAGTCCTCAGGTGGACGCTACTCAGCACCACGCTGGTCCAATTTAGCTGGTGTTAAGTTGACCACCAGTGTTTAATCCTCCACAAAGACCATTTTTTTAAAATTGTAAAAAACATTACAAAATTTATCATGTTAACAGTTTAGGTTGTATAGAATAGTGTGTTAACTATATGTGTATCAGAGTAGGTCTTTAATATCATTTATTTAGCTGTTACTGTAAATGAAACAAGAGTTCTAAGATCATTTCTTACGGAAAACTTTCTTTAAAGTTTTGCAAAGGCCCATGATAATTTTATAAATTAATAAACACAGATATTTCTGAGTGTAAATACATTCTGGAAAATTATGAAAAATTTACCAGCAAAGTTATAAAATAACAACTTCTGTATTTTGTGAAATTTTCCTACTCCAAAATTTCTTTATTCAGTGTATTCAGTGTCTGCTTGGTCCTAGCAATACAAGCTTAGTTCGAACTATGTGGTAGTGGTCAGGTGTGGTGGTGCACACCTGTAATGCCAGCCATGGGGCAGCCGAGGCGGTAGGATTGCCACGAGGTTGAGGCCAACGAGGGCTACGTAGGGAGTTCAAGTCTAGCCTGAACTATGTAACTGAGACCTTGTCTCAAAAAAACAAAAACAACGGGGCTAGGGATTTAGCTCAGCGGCATAAGCGCCTGCCTTGCAAGCAGGCAGTTGTGAGTTCGATCCCCTGTACCAATAAAAAGACAAAAAAAAAAAAAAAAAGCCTAATCTCAAAAAAACAAAAACAAAAAACACCCTCAACGAAAAATTTTTTAAAAATCCCCCAAATATCTGGTTATTAGAGAACAAATAGTATTAGAGAACAAATAGTAGTTAAATAGTATCTGTTATATATGTTACTAGAAAAGTCATTTTTCTAGACTGTAGGAAACAAGAAAACCATTTTTAAATTTAATTTATTTTGTCTTTTTTGAGACAGGCTGAACTGCTCGGCAGTTCGGGTTGGCCTTGACCTCACTTGATTTTTTTTTTTTTTTTGGTATTGGGAATTGAACTCAGAACCTTGTACTTGTCAGGCAGGCACTTATGCTGCTGAGCTATATTCCTGGCCTGAGCTTACTTTGTAGCCCAGGCTAGTCTCAGACTGGCAGCAGTCCTCCTGCCTTAGCCTCCTGAGTGCTGGGATTGCAAGGATATGCCACCACGCCTACCACTAGTTTTGGTTTTGGAGACAAGGTCTTGTTAAGTAGTCCAGGTGGCTTTGAACTCACTGTGTTGTACAGGGTGGTCTGGGACTCCTGGGGAACCTCCTACCTCACTCAACCTCCTGTGTTCTGGAATTAGAGAAGCTAACGTGAAATTGTGTTCCCTAATCAGACAACAGGATGTAGAACTGCTTCAGTAGCTTTACTTGATACTTTAAGCATACTCAAAAGCATTCTGACAGTTTAGAAAACTTCATTCAAGTTTTTGGTTTTCTACCTTACTAATTTTCATTCTTTAAAAACAAAATTAAAATAGGAAACTGCTGCACGAGTAAACCAGTCAGCTCTGGAAGCTGTCACCCCTTCCCCATCTTTCCAACAAAGACACGAGAGCCTGCGGCCGGCAGGGTGAGTTAATTGCAGAGTTGAAGTACTGCATGTGCTGTGAGAAGTGTCAGTAGTGCTTGGACCTTAGGCAGCACAACCTCATGAGTAGGTCCTGCACTGACAGATACTGAGCATCAGAGGAGGTCATTCTCAAAATAGGAAGTTTACCGGTGCGGTGCTGAATGCGAACTTCAGTTTTTCTTAGTGTTTGCAGATAAATCTATAGTTGGGGCGATTTATGTTTTTGAGTTTAATTGGAAAGAAAAATGTCTGTCGTTAAATAGCTGTGATTTGGGATTGTGTTTATGTTAAAACTGCTTTATTCTCATTGGCTTAAAATACTTTCTTCTTTTTAATAGTTAAGTGATTTCCAGAAGAGAAAACCAAATGCTCTGCCTTCTGATTTTTTTTTTTTTTTTTTTTTTTTTTTTTTTTGGTGTCTGTATGTGTTTAGACAATCTCGGCCACCAACAGCTCGAACTGGCAGTTCAGGATCCTTGGGCTCTGAGTCCACCAGTCTGGCTGCCCTATCTTTAGATTCCCTTGTTGCACCAGACACCCCGATACAGTTCGACATCATCTCCCCTGTGTGCGAAGATCAGTCCGGTCAGGCCAAGGCCTCTGGCCTGGGAGGCAGGTGGGTGATGGCGGGACAGGGCCATTGCTGTGATTTGGAAGGGCTCTGATTCTGATTCTGTCCTCTCCTTCACACCATGTGCATCAGATACACTGTGCTTGCTTAGGTACCTAACATGAATGTAATAATTAGGAAAGAATCATACATGTGTTTCGCTTTATCTTCTGCCTCAGTTAAAGGAGATAATCTAATTCTAAAACTACTTCATTTTTTAAAAAGAGAATTAGAAAAATAAAAATGACACAGAATTGCAGATTAACAGTGGTTATTATTGTCTTCAAAATAGTTGCTCAGATTTACCAGCTGTAGGCATGCCAAGTAGATTACACAATATGAGCGCGAAGTTTTCCTTTCAGTAAACGAATGGAACGATAGTACAACTATCTTAGCTACCTTATGTGTGTATACATGTATATATTTTTTTCTGTCTCTCTCTTCCTTCTTCTTTCCTCTATCCCACTTGTTCTTTCCTTTTGAACAGTTTTTGAACAATTTTCCTTTCACAGTATCTATTGTACCTTTTGGATCTTATTTAGTCTTTCAGTTTCATATACTAAAGAGACAATACAATGCCAAGGTTTAGCTCAGTGGCAAGAGCGCCTGCTTGGCAAGTACGAGTTGGTGAGTTCGATCCCTGGTACAAAAAAAAAAAAGAAAAAAAAAAGACAATACAGTGTTTACACATGCAAGTCTGATTTATTTATTTGTGAGTATGGTCTCTAGTTGCATCTGTTTACCTATAAGAGCTTCAAGCTTATCTTTCTTTTTTTATTTTTTATTTTTTTTTGTACTAGGGATTGAACTCATGACAGTACACTTTTTTTTTTTGTCTTTTTGAGACAGGGTCTCGCTGTGCAGTTCAGGCTGGCCTTGAGCTCACTTTGTAGCCTAGGTTGGTTTCAAACTCGCAACGATTCTCCTGCCTCAGCCTTCCAAGTGCTGGGAAGGCATGAGCCACCATGCCTGGCGACCTTGCACTTAACAGGCAAGCACTTGAGCCACTTAGCTGAGTCCCCAGCCCTAAGTTTATCTTTCTTTATAGCTGAGTTAGTATTCCATTGTATAAAAATATTACTTTTTTTTATCCATTCCTCAGTAAATGGATTTTTGAGTTGTTTCCAAGATCTGGCTATTACAAATTATACTGCTGTAAACATAGGTGCACATATATCACTGTGGTATGATGTTTTCAGTTCTAGAAAAATATCCACAGGGGATATAGCTGAGTAGAATGGGACCTCTAATCCTGGTTTTTAAAGGAACTTCCACACTGATTTCCACAGTGGTTGCACCATTCTATACTCCCACCAACAGTGGAGAAGGGTTACTTTTGCCCCATGGCGCTGCTAGCATTTGTTACTGGATGATTTTTTGATAATAATCATTTTTGCTGGGGTGAGATGGAATCTGAGTGTTGTTTTAATTTGCATTTCTCAGATGACTAATGATGTTGAACATTGTTTCATGTATTTATTTGCCATTTGTATTTCTTCATCTGAGAAGTGTGTATTCATCTCAGATACCCATTTTTGGATTGGCTCTTTGAATTTTGGGGGCCTGATGTTTTAAAATTGTTTTTATGTTCTAAATAGAAGTCCTTTGAATGATAGTTGGCTAAAATTTTTTCCCAGTTCATGGGTTTTCTTTTCACTCTGTTGGTGATATCTTTTGAGGTCCAAAAACTTTTTAATAAGATGAGATCCAGTTGTTGATTCTTTGAAGTACTTCCCATGCAGTTTGGTTTTTGTTCATGAACTCTCTGCCTACCCCAGTTTTCAAGATTTCTACAAATTTTTTCTCACTACTTAATTCTAAATAGCTTACAAGGTCTATTTTTTGGACATCTATTCTGACAGTTGCAGAAGAAAATTGGTGTTTCAGTCAAGATTTTGAAAAATCTTCTGGATAATACATGAGTTTTTAATTATTAGAAAATGTTGTATTAGAATAAGAAATGCTAAAAATGCTTAGGAAGTTAGTAAAACATTATTGCTATGAATTATTGTCATCTTTTATTTTTGTAAGGAGGAATCTTTGTGAAAGTTAAATTTTTTCTTTGGCTATAGATGAAAAAGTGACAGTGTCAAATCATTTAATAAGTAGGATGGGGACTTAATAAGTTGGGGAAACTAACTAGGATGTGAATGGCTGTGATCAAGCAAAACTCATTTACATTTGATTACAGAAATATGCTCAATATTTGCTGTAATAGGTCAGGCATATATTAAAGAGGTCAATTTTCTGCTATTTCAGTGCTAATATTATTTTAGAACAACTTAGCTCTCTGATTCCAAAATCTACTTTGAATTGTACTTTTCTTTATTGTGGTTATGCCACAAGCCAAGCACATTGAGGAGAAAGGTAGCTTCTTATCTTTATTTTTCTTCTTGCACTGTTGCTAATACTTTAAGAAATAGAGCTTTGCTTTATTTTGGTTTTGTTTTTTGGCAGTGTTGAGGATGAACCCCCTCAGGTGTCCTAGGCAAATGCTTAGCCACTAAAAGTAGAAATTGTTCAAATCATTATATTTAACTGACAACATGTACTTAAGAGAATGTAAAGAAGCTTTTGTAGTGCTGGGAAACCCCTGGCATTTTACTCGAGGAGTTAAGATGGTAGCTGTGTCAGTGTTCTTCTGTTAACTTGTTTTAGATTCAGCTTTCCAGGATGGTTTATTGAGCTGTTCAGTGTTTTGCTGTGTGTCACAAACTGCAGTCCTTCTACACATCCCAGAATGTAGCAGCACGGGGTTAGCCTGTTGATTAGCCCAGTGCGTGAGGCCAGGGCCATCTGAGAGCAGCTAGGCCATTAGCGTTACTCCTTGTCAGGGTGGCGGTTACAGAGCTCCCTTTTTAAGACGAAAATCTTGTGACTTTCGGATTTTAACTGGTTTCAGTGCTTAGATATCTTCTGTGTGGCTTATGGTAGCTGACACTAATTCGTATTATTTTGGTGAACTTTTCAGGCGTACAAATCCATTTGGAGAATCTGGAGGAAGTACAAAATCTGAAACTGAAGGTAGAACAGATATGCAATACTCCTGTGTTTTAGAACTGTTTTTCAGTTGTAAACTGTGTGAAGAATTTGTCACTTACATTTGCTTTGCTGCTGTGCTAAGTTTTAATGTGTAAAACTTCACAATTTTATTAATGTTTAGCGTTCACTCAAAGCAGCAAAATTTGATGTAAGACATCACTGCTGTCTCATCCTGTAATGCCATCTGCCTTTGACTTCACAATAAAATCCTTAGTGTGGACGCTTCCTGACAAGCCTTTCCAAACGGCAGATGTTTCGCTTCTGGTCCTGGAGCGTAACTTTTTAGTTTTTCCAGTAGCTGTTTTTTTAAAATACATAATTCCAATTTACAGAAAAACTGTAGAATAATACAAAGAATTCTTTTTTACTCACAAATGCATTGGTGAGTGTTACCTTAACCTTTTGCTGTTCAAATTGGAAACATTGATTTTCCTATAGCACTGTAGTTAGGGATTGTTTCTAACTAAAACATCTTTAACCTAAATTTTTCACTGAAAATCTAAAAGGAGGCAATATATTTTATTCTTTTGGAAAAGAAATGTGTTTATGAATATGTAATTTCCTTTTTCTACTACAGATTCTATTCTTCATCAATTGTTTATTGTCCGGTTCCTTGGCTCTATGGAGGTGAAATCAGACGACCACCCAGATGTTGTTTATGAGACCATGCGCCAGATCTTAGCTGCGCGGGCCATCCACAACATCTTCCGGATGACAGAGTCTCACTTACTGGTTACCTGTGACTGCTTAAAGTAAGTACCCTCCCTGGAAAAGCTTGTAGAAAGATTATTTACATAATTTCAGCTTCAAATTTTGTTTCCCAAATTTTAAATTATATTACAGATTAATTGACCCACAGACACAAGTTACAAGGCTTACGGTGAGTTGGACATGATCACAGCTTTAAGTCCCCTCGTGTGTACACACATCTAACTTGAGCACAGCCCTGCTCCTGTACATTCAGGTATGACAGTATCAGTTAGGGTCGGTCTATAGGCTGTTACAGGTAAGTATCTGACCCATCTCCAACAAGTCACAACTGAATGTTCTGTGTAACTTAAATGAATCAGTATGATCTGGTGTGATACTTGGTATTTACCCCTTAGTTAGGAAGCTTATATCATACATAGAAAAATTAGCAGTAGGAATTAAAATATGAATATGATTACTTTCTGATTACCTATTTTGAAATTACAAGTGTGTATTAATCATTTACCTAAGTAGATTATTTTGTTTCTGAATTTGATTTTGTAAAATGTGTTAATAACTAATAAAATATTATTCAGTAACTTCTATTCTTGTTATTCAAACCAAAATATGATACTTGTTCTTAGATTACCAGTCTGTTAATAAAATTTGATTTTAAAATTGTTTATAATATTTTTACAGAATTTAACATACAAGTTTGTTATGTATGTGAGCTGCTATCATGATTTGTAAATCTCATATTTACTTCGGTGTTTTCTGTGGCAGTTTCCTTTGCCCTGTGTAGTTTTGTATGCTACACATCAGGAGAATAAGAGACTTTTTGGATTTGTACTGCGGACATCAGGAGGAAGAAGTGAAAGTAATCTGTCATCAGTCTGCTATATATTTGAATCCAACAACGAAGGGGAGAAGGTATTTCTCTCTTCAAAATGTTCCTCTTGGGAAATATCATTGCACTGATTTTTCGGAAAAGCTCTCAGGTTTTGCCTAGTGTGATTGAGCTGTGCTCTTAAGACTCAGACTCAGGACTCAGAGGAAAGCAGTATTGGTTTTGGGCTGAAGAATCCTTAAGTCACCTTTTATTTGAGCAGTATTATATTGTGTTGTAAAGAGGGATTACTATATCAGTCACTTAGATACTTAAAAGTTTTGCTTTTATGTGAGAACTGAATTTTTCATACTTTTTTCACATTTTAGATCTGTGATTCTGTTGGACTGGCAAAACAGATAGCTTTGCATGCTGAACTGGTAAGAATCCAAGATATGCTTAATTTTCCAAGAATCTTAATTCAAGTAGTATGATACAATTTCTTAAAAATATTAACAGGTAAGTAAAGTGATTACAAGGTTAACAGTAGATGCCATTGCTGATACAGCATTTAGAATCTGGATACACATCTATCATAGGGTAAAATTATTGTTGTGCTGTCTTGTGTGTAAACATTTTTAAAAAGATTAAAAAGGTAGTGTGACCTTTTCACACTACCTTTTTGACTGAGATGTCAAAAACTTAATTATTTCATATTTAATTCATTAGTTTTATTCATCTTTAGGATCGTCGGGCATCTGAAAAACAAAAAGAAATAGAGAGAGCAAAAGAGAAGCAACAGAAAGAACTCACTAAACAAAGACAGATTGAAAAGGTACGCAGCCCTGATGTCTCGATCGTCTCTGTGCGGTGTTTGTGAAGAATTAAATTTAGTCCTGTGGGTTTCACATTTGAGTTTTCAAATGAAGGTCTGTGTCTCCTTGCTTAGCTACTTCATAACTTTAGAAGACTCATAGCTTAGCAGGCACGAGTAGCAAAGGCTGACCTCTGAATTCCCCTGGACTTGCCCAGCAGCCGGACTGATCTGTAGTGTACCGTGGGACTTGCTACTAAGCTGACACACCAGAACTGTCATATCCCAGTGAGCATTGTCTGTCAAAGTAGTTCTTTTGAGAGGCCTTATAAATCCAATTGCTAATCCTGAAAGCCAGGTTGTTCTCTAAGGGGAATACTATATTTATAATGTTGCCAGGAATGTCTATTCATTGTCTTTTCCAAAAGAAATAATTTTTTAAAGGCTTGGGAACAAACCCACAAGAGGATAACTTTACACAGTTTTCAGAGCAAATCTTAAGTGCTCTATGAGACTGTAAAGGCCTGTTATAGATTGAAGATGGGAAGAGAACAAAAGAGATGTGTACCTGATAAGAACTGACTAATCCCTTTTGGGGGTGGTTTGGATGTGTGGACAGAGAAGAAAAGGGCAAAAATGACTTCAGACTCAACAGTAGTCTTGAGAAGGTGGCATGTGCTTAGCAAGCTGAGCTGGACAGTGAGGGAGAAGGGTCCAGGAGGCGGAGCTGAGGGGTGAGGGGGACCCATGCTGAGCTTTGCTGACATAGAGTTTACTTGGGTAGCATATAGTGAGAGACGAAGACCTGAACCTGAAGTTAGTGTGGACTGGGAAACAGAAGGAGGAAAACAGACAAAACGGTCCCAGAGTTCACTTTGGAGCTGCCTTGGCTGGGCAGGGCCTTTCTTTTCCTTCATCAAATTGCCCAAATTTCTGACAGGTGTGTAATTTAACTGTCCTGTTTGCCATTTGGCCGCATGCACAAGAAAACAACTTTGGTTTTTTTCTCTCTTTGCACTAGGACTTGGAAGAACAAAGTCGATTGATAGCTGCTTCCAGTAGACCAAACCAAGCCAGTAGTGAAGGGCAGTTTGTTGTCCTGAGCAGTAACCAGTCAGAAGAGAGCGACTGGGGAGAAGGAGGAAAGAAGAGAGAGTCAGAAGCATGAACTTCTTGGTGTTTTGATTGATTCCCCCTGCCCTTAAAATCTGACAGTTTCTTTTAGTCAAATGACGTAAGGTAACAACTGTGTTTCAGTAACACAAAGTTTGTGTTTGCTTGTTTTAGCTTCATTTAAAACAAATAAGGTTGACTGAAAAAAATAAGGTTGAACTTAAAGACTTAGGTTTACATTGACTTTTTTCCTTGAAAATAATGTAATATGCATTCACATTAAATTTTACTTAACTACTTATTTCCCTGGACACATGTAGCCATGGGATTACAGCTCTGCTGAAGCATTTTTTCCTTATATTGCTAATTTTTGTTTTGCATTGTAATTGACTAAGCCTATAAGAAAAGTTATTCTGCAGATTCAGATACTTGTGGCTGTGTTCCCTCCTTTTCATTAGGAACATTTTCCTTTTAGTTCAGTATCCAACTGAACAAGTTTAAAACTTTCTGCAGAGAACTCTACAAGTTTTCAATGACTTTAACAATCTTAAATGTGCAATAGGATTTGTGTAAAGCCATTAGGACAGACTTTAGTGTAAGGCTTCTCGTGGTGGCAGGTGGTACCGTAGATGTCTGGGCACTTTCTTGATTGCTTATATTTCTCTGCTGTGTCTGGTGCCAGAGGAAACAGGTGTAAGAGTCTTCAGCGGCTTGGCATTATGTTATCATACTCTTAGTTCTCAGGTTGGGACTTCAGTTATTGCTGCAGAGCAGTAATGGGTTAAAAGAGGATTTTGAAACTCATTAAAAGTGATTTTTTTGTTGTTATGCAAATACATTTTAGATTATGTATAAAGATGTTACAGGATAATACATTGTATTTTCTGCATTGTGTGAAATAATTTTATTGATAATCAAATGATATTTCAAAAGAAGTTCTATAACAATTATGTTACTGCTTAAAGTAAAATTCTCAGAGTTTAGTTTAGAAAATGTAATCTTTTAAATTTCAGACTTATATTCCCAGTATTTTCATAATCCTATGTTTTGATAAAGTACTAAATCACCACTTTATATCCACAAAGGCAGATAGCTAATTTATGAGCATAAAATAATTTGCACTAATTATTGTAAATACTTGTACTTTTCAAATGAGTAAAAGCTCTCATCCCATGAAAGACTGAAAAGGAGTTGAATGCCTGGTATAGTATAGACATTGACTAAAGACAGATTTTAGCCTGGTGCTAAGGTGAAATGACATTTCCCTACTGCTTATCTTCCATGTCAACACTTGATTTCTTTTTCTTTACTCAGATTTTAAACATGATTGATAGAAGTTATAGTCATGTTTCCACATGAGAAAGTTTCCACATGAAATAATTGAGTAAAATATTTTATGTAATTAAACATCTACAATTCATAAGGGAAAAATTTTTCTTTGATCTGTAATTTAAGGTCTGAATTGGAAATGGCATCTGTTTTAGTTCTTAAAGTATAACTCTGTTGTTTGCACACTTTGTGTGTACATTATTTTCTGTAGAATGGGGTAGATAATTATATACAGGATCATATATTCTTTTTTCTGTGTGCCAAATGGCATAATGATTATTTAATACTCTTTGAAGCCTTATGTTACCAAAACATAGAGTAAACATGTAGAAGTTCATGGAGTACTCCTCGATTAAAGTTTATTTTGTGCTTACTAAAAGGGAGGCCTTCTCAATAGTGTGTCATGCCTTTGGTTGAAGTTGAAGTTTCTCCTGTGGTCAATACTTGACAAGTCCTTTTTTGAGATTGGTAGTGTTTCTGTTTCATTAAGTCTTTTCTTTATGTCGTCATTTCACTTAGTTCAGATGACCCACAAGGAAGGTGCGTCACCATTAAGGGGTAGTTTTGCTTGACTGGTCCTTTGAATGGTAGCAGAGCTGAGCCCTTTGTTAGCATCCTGAGGTTAGGGTACTTGCAGACGCGGGATGCTGGGTGGACTTAGTTCCACTTAAATCCCATTTCATCGGAATTCTCACATATCCATGTCCTTGGGTCAAACCAAAATGCATTCCAATGCCAAATAGAAGTTACGAGTAGACTCAGTAATTTTAGATGATTCACTTTCTCTTCTAGTACTATTAAACTGTGTGAACTATTATTCCATTACTGCAAGTATCAAGTTTAATAAGCTCTCTCTTTTATTTATAGAAAGTTTCTTCTATAAATAAATGGTTTTCTTCTTAATGTTAAAGCTGATCTTGTACTGTTATATCCTCTTGTGAAATTCCTTTTAGCTCTGGGATACTTTGATGGTGATTATTTAGATTTGAGGATATTTTTTCTCTGATTCAGAACTTACACTTAATGATTTTTTAGAAAGCAGCAAAACTTTTTTTTTTCAAGGGCAAAAATTAAGCCCGAATTCTGCTATGCATTCTGCTACTTATATGAACAGTATTTTTGTAACTGTGATAAGAGTCAATAGATAGGAAATCAGTTATTCTTGCATCCTTTTAGAATTTTGAAAACTTAGGAGGCACTAAAACATGACTATAGAACAGAGTCCCAAACTGTCAGTTGTTGCCATATTTGTAATGATTATGTTTAGTTAAGGAGGGATAACATTGTTTCTGTTTCCCTTGGTTCTCCCAAGGGAAGTAGAATGTGCCTAAGGTAACATGATCTTGTGTGGCAAAGGCATCTGAGTCAGTTTTGATTAGGAGCCACACAGTGTTTATATCTTGAATCTTATAAATGCTAACAGACCCTAAAAACAAATTATAAAACCTACTGCTACCTGAATAAAATGAAAATATTGTTTGTTTTGATAATAACCTCCTAGCATTTGGATTATACTTTAAATATTTAAGCATACCAGTTACAGCAAGCTCTTTGTTTTATTTTTAACAAGTTTGGTTAACTCTTTCATGAGACTTTTATTTTACATTAATTAATAGCACATAAAGATTTGAAACTGGAACCATATTACACTTTGTAACCAATCTTGTGTGACTGTTCTTACTAAGTAATTCACTTCAGTTAATACTGGGGATTAAACTGTAACTAATGTGCAGAAATTGCTCTGTATGTTGGTGTTACTGTAATGTAAATGAGTTGGTTACCATTTCTCTGATGCTGTTATGCAGTGTGCAACTGAAAGTCATGCAATGTTTCCCTTTAGGATTGGATTTGAAGAACTCATCTTCATGTGACCATGGTATACATGTGGGGCAGAGAATTTATTTTTTCATTTCGTCAGAATATTTGCTGACAAGGCTTCAGGAAGTATCTTGTTAGAAGATTTTTTAATGTATAATAAAGTCCATGATTTTTGTACAGTCTTTTTGGTATGAAATATTTGATATCTACCCTGAAGTTTATTTTTCCAGGCTATTTCAAATGATGTTTTCAATGTGTTACATTTAACCTTAACTGCAATTCCACAAAAACTAAAGTAAAACAAAAAAGCAGACTAATTTTATCACTAAAACTTTTTTCTTGTAGCAAAAAAAGAGACTTCAGTAATTACTGAAGATATGTTAAGATGATATATTCTTTTTTTTTTTTTTAAGATGATGTATTCCTGCTACTGTTGAGTTCTACTCACAGAAATTCCTTCAAAAGTGCAGGTTATTGCGTGCTCCAGCATAAGTAGCTTAGACCTGCAGTTTTAAAACTAACATATATGTACCCTGTGTGCCCTTTATTATAGTGCTTACAAAGTTCTATTGGGAGTTTGTGTTCTAATTTATATTGAATTTTATAAAAAGTTGTATATACACTTACAGAAAAAAAAAGGAAGAATAGATGAAATTTAGAATTATATAGTTTTTCTAGTGCATGCATATCCTAAATATACTTGTATATTGACATACATACAATCTACCACTTGTTTATAAGCACAAAGAATTTGATTAAAAAATAAAAACTTCATGCCAGCTAGTTTTGCAAATTTCTTAATGGAAAAAAATTGTAAGAGTTGCTGGAGATTTAGCTTAGTTGGCTCAAGCACCTGCCTGGTAAGTGTGAGGTCATGAATTCAATCCCCAGTACCAAAAAAAAATTGTAAGGGTTATTTAAAAATCTAATAGAAGTATTTTATTAAGACTACATATGGACATCAGAGTTACAGCTGCCTGGGCTCTGGCATAAGCAGGCTGTGTCAGCCTACCTCTGTTGTCCCTCTGGCTGCTGTAACTGCTCCGGTGGAAGGAACAGCATTCTCAGTCTCTTCCTTTGCTTTCTACATGCAGAAACTTGCACTTACCATGCAATTTATGGTAATCATTTCAGCTAACATTCTGTGCATACATACAGTGTAGATTCTACAAATACAAATGTAAACCCTCGTCTTCTGTTGTCATTGAGCATCTCCACCCTCACACCTATTCCTAGGGCCAGGCTAGTTCAGTGTAGAAACCATCGGCTCATCATTCCTGTGAAAACACTTCTAATTCCCACCCCAGTGATCACATTAACCAATCAGTAGTAGGTCATAACCATTGGAAAGGATATGGGTTCCCTTAATGATGAAATTTCAGTTAAAGTTTCTATCTGGATTGGCTAAATTACGTTAGCTTCACAAGACCACAAAGAATCAGTGTCAGACTCAAAGCTGGCACTGGGACTTAAGCATATCGACAGCCGACTTTCGAATCACATAAGGGAATTATATGTATATATATTCCAGTCACTAATACATGTATGTTCTCTGCAGAAAAGATTACTGTTAAGAATTATCCTGAGTTGTCAGAACTGGCATCTGTTACTCTGAGCACAAAGAAACTGGATGGCTGTAAGATTAATACCAAATTAGAACTGGTATATTTCAGTTAATAGAAATTTCTATTAGTTTGTGTGTGTGTGTGTGTGTGTGTGTGTGTGTGTGTGTGTGTGTGTGTGTGTTTGAGATAAGGTCTTGCTATGTAACCCAGCCTGGACTCGAACTCGAGGTGATTCTCCCAAGTGCTGGGACTACAGCCACGTGCCACCATCCCTGGCACTACTTGGATTTTCCTTTTTATGCTGCCTTTAGAATTCTAGCCATTTATATGGTGAAAGGTTCTGCGCAGAACAACTTTTTTTTAAAAGAGTGTAGACTGCATTGAGATTTTAGTTGGTAATACAAAAAATAGGAATCATACATAAGTCGTCAAATTTTTAAGAATTATATACCTTTCCCCCTCGAATAACTTGATCACCAGGTTGCTGCAAAGACCCCTTGTCCGTACAGGTCATACTCTTTGTAAAGGATGTATTCTTTTAGGCGGTTGGGTAATGGGAGAAATGACATGAAGACAGGGCAGCGCAGACGCAAGCGTCCCATGCACCTGCGGATCTTCAGGCGGCACAGGTGTTTCAGGGACCGAGGGTTTGCTGAAATGAGAAACAGACATTATCAAGAGGAGCAGGAATTGCTTCATTTCTTAGTGGTCTTCAGAGTTCAGTTAGCAAACGTATTTAAGCCACGAGGATTTGCATTTACTGTACCAGTTGAGAGCGTCATTGCAAACCTCCCATGGATTTGGGCTCACAGTCCTGTCAGCGTGGAGTCAAAGCACATCTGCTGCAGTCTGGCTGATGAGACACAAGTTCCTTAAGCTTCTGTTAGTGCCCCGTCCTGTCCCCCACAGGCAAGCTCGAAACGGAAGGTAACCCAGGGAGAAATGAGATGAAAGTACTTCCTTTATGTGCTACTTTGGAAACATTTGGTTTGGAGAAGTCTTTTGATACCTTTCACAAATTTAGGTCTTGTGCTTTTTTCATCTCTTTATTGTCATTCATAGTTTTTAATTTCTGTGTCTGTAGTGTTGCTTTATAGCCTTGATTTACTAGATTGAGGAAAAAAATGCATTACCTGCCTACATAATAAGTACTTAGCACATTTTTATCTGCTGGAAAACAATAATAATTACAAATTAAGTTATAAACAAATAACTTCTTTTATTTTTTGGAAAGGAATACTCTATTCCTCATTTCTTACAGGCTTTTAGCCGGAAGAGGACTCTTAAAAACAAGAATACAATTAATATTTGTAAGAGTTTTCTACAAGGAAGATACTTACTCAGGATAAACTGTATTTCTGACCAGAGCCCCTGCTTTTGGAGCACAGCTTTCAGCTTTGAACAGATCCGAACTCGATCGACGTAATCAAGCATCACTCGAACAACCTTTCCAGAGAGGTGTTGTAGCCACGACAGAGTTATTACTTCACAGAACTGAGGGGGAAATCAGTAAGTCAGCACACGCGCCCGTGCTAGTGGTGGTCAACCTGTGGGGCATACTCCAGGTGGCTCTTGGTCACCGCTGAAATTTGTAGAGGGTTCACCACCTCTGGTCTGTGGGTTTGCCTAGTAATCGTAAGAACACTAGACTCAAGGCCAGGAGCCATGGTTGGGAGTTTTCATCTGCTCTCTAGGCCTAATATTTGGAAAAAATGTTCTCTACCATGTCTTCAGGATCATACAAGATGACAGAGTTCATTTTATCTGTAAGCCCATTTGGTCGATCACCAGCCTGTAAGAAAAAGTACCTTCAGCGCTCAGGAGGCTGAGGCAGGAGGATTGTTAGGGTTCAAGACCAGCCTGGGCTACAAAGTGAGCTCAAGGCCAGCCTAAACTTCATAGTGAGACCCTGTCTCAAAAAGACAAGAAAAAAGTCCCTTTCTGGTTTTTCTTGCAGCTAGGTATGTCACCTGCCTACATTGTAACCAAGTCTGAGCAACGCCCCAGAACTGCCCCTTGACTCAGAGCAGGATGTGCAGTCTTCCTGTTGGTCTTCTTGCTAGCTGACATGTGACTGAGTTATTTCATCAGTCATGTCTGTCCAGGTAGGCATCTGTGTACTTCTGGGCTCTGTGTAAGTGAGAGTGGAATGAGCCGTTCTGTCTGTCTTTGAGGCAGTCTCACTACGTGGGCCAGGCTGTCCTTCAATTTGTGGGCTTAAGCTGTCCACAATACCTTAGCGTGTCAGATGGCCGCAGAGTTCTAGCTTGTGTTCTTAAAAATACTCTTACCTAGATACATGAGGGATATTTATGCCTTTAAGAAATTTAGATGCTCTTTGACAAGATTCCCAGATGAATATTCAAGTAATACTGTCTGAACCAATTGGGAAATAATTGATAAATGAATGTCAGGTTACTGGTGCAGAAAGTAAATCCTGTATTAATCACCTCAAAGTAGTAAATTGTTTTTCAGAATTGATTCAAAGTGCTTCCCTCCAATTCACTATTTCATTTCTATTTTTAAATTTTGATGATATGAATGCAAATATCCATGGAGCATCTAGTTTTTTGCTAAGAATCTGTAAGCTGAGGAGAATGATGACCATAGCTTCTGTGTAGCAGTGTGTGAGACAAATCATCAACATGGTAATTCCAGAACACGATAAATGCTATAAAGGATCCACTTGATGACAGTGACGGGGAAGAAAGCAACATCAACAAGGAGACTTGTGGCACCTGGACCACAATGGGAAGGGGCCGCCACTTGAAAACGGGGAAAACTCATGTGGGGGAAAACAGGTGACCAAATAGGTAAGGGAAAATTAGGGGGCTAGTGTGAGAAAAACATGTCTTTTTGTGTTGTTTTTTGTTTTTGAGACAGGGTCTCGCCGTGTAGTGAGACTGGCCTTGAATTTGCTGTGTAGCCCAGCCTTGCCTCAGACTCACTGCCTCCGCCTCCTGCGGGCTGGGGAAACGGTTGTGTGCCACCGTGCCCGGCTACAAATGCCTTTAAAAGGATGAGTAGTGTCAACTGTTAGGAGTCTTTTTTCATTTGAAAGGTGAACAGAGCTAATTTAATCAAGTCTTAAGACAAAAAGCGCTGAAAAACCTAGAGATATGAGTATTGAGAAATCAGAAATTTAGCTGGTTATCTCACAAAGTTTAATTGAAATATGAGGTTTTTTTTGCATAATACCTTGCTCAGGTGTTGTTTCATTTGTGAAACTTCTTAACATTTTCTAGGTTAAGTCACTTTTATCTGAATTGTTTTTATTTATTTATTTATTTTTGAGACAGGGTTTCACTATGCAGTTCAGGCTGACCTTGAATTCACTTTGTAGCCCAAGCTGGCCTCAAACTAAGCAATCCTCCTGCCTCAGCCTCCCAAATCCTGGGGTTTACAGGCATGTGCCACCACACCCAGCATTGTATATCTTTTATATCTGTCTACTATTACATATATTGTCATATTTGTTGTATGGGTCTTTTCAACCATGAGAGTCTCACTTCTGAAGAGTGGATTGATTCTTGCCATGGTTCCAGTACTACAGTCAGCGTCTGTGAGGTAACAGAGCCAGTACCGTGGGCTTACCATAGTATCTTTAATCACCGTGGATGTCCAGCCTTCAGAAGCACAGCAGTGCTGACCTTTGTCCCCATGCGGACAGTCAAAGCACCGCTCTGTGTCGTACCCGTAATTCAACAGCATCCTGAGCATGACCTCATCTTTCAGTGTGTACTGCAGCGCTGATGGGAAATGCATAGGGTTCACTCTGCAGAAGTAATTGACGTTGGCCCCATGCCTCAGCAGAAGGCTTATCAGCTCATAGCTGCCCATCCTCAGCGCTATCTGCAGACAGTTAACTGGGTCTTGATTGGGTAGCGCGCCAGCCTGCAGGAGCAGTCTAACTGAAGAGAGGTCTCCGTTTGAAACAGCGAAGTACAAGGCTGACTTCCTGTGGTCATCATAATGTTTACGAACTCGCTGGTCTAGCATGAAGTTCACATCGAATCCAGCCTGGATGAGGAGTTCCAGGCACTGGGGGTGTGCGCTTGCTGCCGCACAGTGGACTGGGCTGATTCCACTCTGCTTAATGGCTGCACGGTCTGTCACTGGAACCAGCATCTTGAGAGCTCTGCAAAAGAATTTCTGAAGTTTTATGTTAAGGGGCAGTGTTAACTTGTTTGTGATCCTTTTAACATGGATGATACCGGTCTTACTAGTATTTTGAAACTGATATCCCAACAAAAACTATTTTCTTCATCCAGAAGCTCAGATTCCAAGTGAAACTAAGGGAACTACTGTTCAGGTTAAAAACTTAGAATTATTTCAGTCACTTGAGACTCAGTGCTTCCCATATGGCCTAAGGACGTGATAATAACAGAGGATGCCTGGCCTTACCAATTCCTAGCTGGTATGAGTTTCTTCCCAAAGGAGGTAGGTTGTTGGGTCAGGGAAGAAAGGCATAAAGTTTCTAGAAGCTGCTGCCCCAAAGCTATTAGTGTTTCTATTTGCAATATGTAAATTGGACTTACAGTAAATGACCTCTGTCAGCTGCCACATGAATGGGCAGGTGGCCTGAAATCTTAGGGATGTTTGCATCAGCTCCGTACTGCAGCAGGAGAGTCACACAGTCTGGGTTTCCCCCTCTAGCAGCTTCAAGTAAGATGGAAGAAGAGTCAGAGGCCTGACTGTGAGCACTAGCACCTGCGGAGAAATGGTCTCGTTATGCAAAAATTACTTTTCACTATATTGCTTGAGTAATCTTTAAAAATCTATCACACCTCCAAAAAGCAATTTCTGAGTAGCTACGGTAGCAAAGTACTAAGAAATATCTCCTGGTCTCAGACTTATAAACTAGTTATGAAGAAATGATGCCAGCAATAGGTGTAGTAAGTGGGTTTTTAGAGTAACTTTATTTATTTGAAATTTGAGAATATAGTATAAATACCCTTATAAATGATAGCTTTATTTATGGACCAGTCTCCAAAAGCTCACATTTGTACACGTGGTATGGTACTAATAAATCTCTTACCATACCATCTACTGATACTGTTTTGGTGGAAAGGGGGATTTTTGTTGTGCTTTGACATGTTCGTAAGGGATGGTTCATATAAACACTGTGTAACTGTTTTGAAAGTTAGTAGTTCTGATAGCCTAAAAAGTAAATTATAACACATGCCATTAAGTGTCATATCAATAGTGTAGATAATAAAGCAAATGTGAGGTAGGGTGGCTATGCTTGTAATCCCAGCAACTTGGAGCTGAAGGAGGACCAAATTCAAGCTGAGTGATTCAGTGAAGACTCCATCTCAAAATAAAAATTAAAAATGAGCTGGGAGCCAGGTGTGGTGGCACACATCTGTAATCCCAGCACTTGGGAGGCTGAGGCAGGAGGATCGATGTGAATTCGACCAACCTGGGCTACAGAGTTAGCTCAAGGCCAGCCTGAACTGTGGTAGAGAGACCTGTCTCAAACACACACAGGCTGGGATACAAAGGCCCTGAGTTCAGCCTCCTCTTGCCCCAACTTGAAAGAGCCAGTGTGTTATGTTTCACCTATAGCTTTGGACATTTCTTATACAATTCATTTGGCACATCTAACATGTCTTGTGGACATTAATTGAAAACTAACATCCCCTATATGATGGAGATTTAGATGTTTACAAGGGTTCAGGTTGTTCTTAGATAAAAGAGAACCCTCCCATCTAGAATCCTGGAGAATAGGTTCTACATTGTTAAGGAAATGAAGCTTCTAGACATAGAAGAATAGAGGTGATTCCAACATTGGGACTTTTACTAAACCTGGGGAAAGTTTGCTTCTTTGAAAAAAGCTATGAATCTGACGTTGCAATCAACAGAGTCTTCCTCAAAATAAATGACTTAAAGTTTTCTGAGTTTAACCAGGATCTAAAATGGCCACAGCTCCAGCACAGGACATGTGTCTGACAAGAAGTCCAATAGCTGGTGTCCTCTACCTTCTCAAGTGCAGTAAGGTTGATGCTGCCTCTTGGCATTTTTAAAGGATTACATGGTGCAACATTGATAGCCTATACCTGATGCTTGTGAAGTACTCACATAAACTGTCTTCTAGCAGTCTCAGCCGCTACTAGAACAGAACACTGGGATTTAAGGAGAAGAGATCAGGAAGAATTCCCTAATCCTGAAGCCACTTGCTGAGCTATTACGGTGCCTGTGAGTGGCAGAGACAGAAGCAACATGCTGCTTCAACCTTGATTTTGATTGTAGGAAATGGCATCACCGCAGCAGTTAAAAAAAAAACCTTAGCCTGGTGAAGATCAGAAAGTAAAAAGCCATCTACATCCTATTAACATGTGGGAAGTTAATTTCATACCAAATTAATTTGATCTCTGTCTTAGGCTGTTCAGTAGCCAGTATGAACACACAGTTTTATAAACGTTTATTTGGGTCTTAAATAAACATTAGCTTATATTAACTTGATGAAGCTCTTCATCAAGAGGACAGTACTTGGATTACATTATGCCTGGTAGTGTGCTGACCATATAGAAAACCTTGCCTTTCTGTAGTAACATTTCCATGATTTTGGTGTGTCCATTTTGGGCAGCAAGAGCAAGAGGAGTGAATCCGTAGGCGCTCCGAGGGTCAGGCTGCGCCCCAGAGCCCAGCATAAGCTTCACCAGGTCCTGTCTGCCCAGTCTGGCCGCCTCGTGGAGGGCTGTCCTATCGTTGGCACATCGCAGATTGACACTGGCTCCGTGACTGATCAGCAAGGCGGCCATGTCATAGGAGTCACGCACAACAGCTGGGAGAGTAGAAGGGCAGTGGGATTACATTCAAAAGCCAAGTGTCATACAAGTCGTGTCTCAGGATTCTTTTTTTTTGTCTTTTTGAGACAGGGTCTTGCTATGCAGTTCAGGCTGGCCTTGAGCCCACTTTGTATCCTAGGCTGGTATTCAACTCACAATGATCCTCCTGCCTCAGCTTCCCACGTGCTGGGATTACTGGCGTGCGCCACCACGTGTGCCCAGCTCTCAGGATTCTTAAGGAGCTCTTCCCACTTCATGCTTTAGAATTCATGTTTTAGAAAACATTATAAATAAGGCCTATATCAAATAATGCTTTATATCACCAATTGTTATTATTATTTGGTACCAGGGATCAAACTCACGACCTTGCACTTACCAGGCAAGTGCTTGGGCCACTGAACTAAATCCCCTGCCCCACGTGACCAGTTACTGAATGTTGGTTGTTTATATGGTTGAAACAATAAAAATTTCACATAATCCTTATTTTCTCAAAAAGTGGAACTTTAAATATTTCCTGCAGAGCCGGGCATGGTGGCTCATGCTTGTAATCCCAGCACTCGGGGAGGCCGAGGCAGGAGGATCATTGCAAGTTCCAGACCAGCCGGGGCTACAAAGTGAGCTCAAGGCCAGCCTGAACTGCAGAGCGAGACCCTGTCTCAAAAAGACAAACAAAACAAAACAAAACAAAAAAACCCCATTGCCATTCTGGAAATGATTAGAACTGCTTGAAAAGAACCAAGACAGCAACAGAACTTGGCTCAGCAAACAAACAACTGAAATTTAACTATGCGCGTTTGGCTGAGTGGCTGAGCCACAGAGAATGGTGATTTTTGGTGTATTTCCTAAATTGTGCAGAAAACCCCTGGAAGCTTGTAAAGGAGTGACTCTGCAGTTGAAAACAAACAAAACCACCCCCCTAAGCCCCCAAACCGTAAAAAGCCCGAGAAGACTATGTGCTATGACTTCCTCAAGACACACTTTGCACACTGATTCGAAGTCTCTGAGAACAGTGCAGTGAATTTATTCCACTGTGACCCAGCATTTTCTGTGCTCTCTGAACAGGGAATTGTGTTTAGGGACCACGGAAATAGAATCGTTTCTCCTGCCTCATAGAGGTCCAGAAAGAAAAGCCAGGTCTTTCTGTTATCTTTGTGACAGGTTCCATAGCTTAAGGTGTTTCACTTACATGGATTTCACACCCCCCCCCCCCCCCCCCCGCCATGAACACTGTTCTCTCCGCCCCACAGCAGAGGAGGCTGGGCTTAGAGCGCTGAGACCCCATCGGAATTCTTTCACTGTGTGGCACCACACTGCACAGTGCCGTATAGCTGATGAGCTGCTTCCTTAGGGAAAACTGCGGTTCAGTGTGTTTTCCACAAACACAAGCCTGGGGACATCCTAGGACAAACCAGGATGAGACCCAAATGCCAGCTCTAAGCGTTTTCATTTTTATTCTGATAAAAGTTACATGCATGCAGAGTAAAGGTCTGGTGATCTCCCGCTCCTGTTTTCCTCCACAAAGGCATCTTTTTTGGGGGTCTTTTTCATTCTTATCAGTACCAGGGATCGAACTCACGACCACACACTTGCAAGGCAGGTGCTTATGGTGCTGACCTAAATCCTCAGCCCCCCCAGGGGCGTCTTTTATCTGCTGCTTTACTTTCAATGTTTATATTTCTGTAAGTCTGCTTGTACTGCTACCTTTTATTGTTTGGTTTTGCTGTAGAGTCTTCTTTATGCAAAATGAAGATTAGACTTTTTTCTTCCTCTTGTTCCCACAATGTGCACATTCCTCATGCCAGGCAAAACCCTTCCAACATCTTCAGAGCAGAATTTTTCTTAGGTAAGTATTCAGTGTCTGCCTTATTTTGGTTATGTTGCCTTTTCAAAGGTGGACCGTGATAATGTTTTCTTTCCTGCACAGCTGTTGTTTTCCCTGGAGTTAATATTTGTCTCATATTTCATTTGCTTAGTTTTTAACTTGGTTATCATTAATGCAATCCCAAGCCCTCTAAACTGTCTACAATTATATATATATATATATATATATATATATATATATATATATAGTCTTTTTTGTGACAGAGTTTCACCATACAGTTTAGGCTAGTCTTGTGCTCACTTTGTACCCCAGACTGGTATCGAAGTTGCAACAATCCTCCTGCCTCAGCCTCCCCAGTACTGGGATTACAGGTGTGTACCATGATGCCTTAGCCCTTTATATTTTCTTTTCCCTAAAACATCTGTTTTCTCTAACTTGCTTATCTCTGTCAAAGAGTCTCCTCAGGTAACCCTTAGCTGTTTGGAGAGAGAACTGGGGGGTGGGATTACAAAACTGGTTGGAAACCCTAAATAATAAGTGGGAGTATGGGTTTGGTAACCGGTTGGTATTTTGGGGCCATTTTTTGGGAAGCCCCCAAATGCCATTATATTTAGACTTTTCTTCTTGGTCTGGTCATATTCTCCAGAGAAGCGTCTTTCTAGATAGTAGCGGCCCGCTTTCCTGCTAGGATCCTGGTGACTCTCCACTCCGTGGGAGGAGGGTTGGGTGTTTTGTCTACCTTTGCTTAATTCCTCCAGTGATTTCAATCAGGCATGCTCACTCCAGTTCAGAGATCTCTGTTTAAGCTTTACAGAGGATAAACCTCTAGCATTCTGTTGGGACTGGGGAGGAGTCTGCCCCAGCACGCTGAGTAGGAAAAGTAGTTTTAACCCAGTCTTTCCACTGCAGTGCCTGCCCCTCACCAGTGCTCCCCTTTTAGGTGCCTGACCCCAGAATGGACGCGATACAAAACGAGCTGCTCTTATTTGGGCAAGTGCCTCCTATGCCCCCGCCCCCTGCCCCAGCCAGTCTATAGACAGCTTCTTGAGGGTCAGATTCCCCTGTCTGCTCGTGGGGGACCAAAGGAACAGTGTGGCAACTAGATACAAAAAGCTGCCTTTGAGACCTGTGGGTTGGGAGGAGACTCAGGCACAGACTGTTCAGAGATAAGTTGTTCATTTACCTGTAAGAAGAGGAGAACTACCTTCGTAATTCTTAGTATTCGGATTGCAGCCATTGAGAAGAAGAAAACTGACATTTTCTAAGAGACAATTGCTGACAGCCAAAAAAAGTGGTGTTTCACCATTGTGGGTGGCCTGGTCCCACACACTGGGTCTTGACGCTGAAATAAATTCAGGTGACATTAAAACAAATTTAAAAGTTTTCTTCTGGAAGCACCAACAAGAGTAACAAGGTTACCTTTCATGGTTATTTCTAAAATGTTCTTGTTTAATTGCACTGCGGCCTTGTGCAGAGGAATCCAGCCTGCCTCATCCGCTTCATCAAAAGCAGTGTGGTACTTGGTTAAGTGTGGCAGTACCTCTTCCTCGCCTATTGGGGAATGAGAGCAGATTCACATTTGGCGGCACGCTGCTTCTGAATTCTACTCCAAAGTGCATGAGACAACAGAATTAGAGCACCATCTTTCATGAAAGCAAATTTAAATGGTACAGGAGGGGCAGGAAGGCCTGCATTCACACATCATATCACTCGTACCCGTGAACACCCCACTGTCTTGTCAAATACAGAAAAAGTTCCCTTCATAGAGGAAGCTGGAAACTCTTTCTGGGCTAAGTTGCCCTGAAGTACACTACAGCCAGGCAAAGCAGTGGTTAGAGTTCATAGCCTCAGTAGTTTGCAGATTTTCCTTAGAACATGAGGAGTAATTGTTTGCAGAAACCCCGTAATTTCGTGGAAATTGCAAACCCACACCCAAATTTTTTTTGGAGGGGGTGAGAGGTTTGCAAGTAGCCAATCCAAGAGCATTCTTTAGTTCTCACCACTGATTGGCTGCTGCTCTGTAACCCATATCTGGCAGATGCATCAGTGCTGCCGCCTCAAAACAAGCTGCTACACTGCAGGTAGCTATCGCAGGTGTTCTTGGTTTTGTTCTTAAAGCCTTAAGGTCCCTAAGATGCCACCAAAATGCCCTGCATGTTCTAAGCCTTTATTAATACAGTATTATATTAAGGAGGGAGATACAACATATCTAGGGGTTAAACTATAAAAATAGGCACTTTTCTGACCATATCTGAAGGTATTTTTTTTTCACAATTCAGGGGTGCTCTAGGAACATAATGAATTTTGGTGGCCCACTATTTTCTCCTAGAAAACACATCGGATGGTTGACAATCAGATGTGAATAGTGCTCAGAATTTAGAAGAGTTGCTACCCTTTGAACGTAGTTGTCACCGTCACAGTTTAGCACAAGTTGAAAGTAGGAAGAATACTTAACTGTCTCTATTGTTTCAACTATCTTCTTATATTCGTCACTCAAAGAGGAATGGAAGCTGCATAGAAAAAAATGTATGTAATTCCAAAATTGGTTTAAAAAAGCTCATATACACCAAAGTATCTCATATAAGCCAAAAGGAAAAGGTAAAGGCAGCAGTAGTTAATCAGGGATGAACCCCAGAAGATGCAATGACAGATTTCTTAGAAATACTTCCAGTGGCATTGGGGTGTAGTTCTCTGGTGGAATGCTCACCTGGCATGCACAACGCCCGATGGGGCTCCCAGTGTGTAGGGGTGGGGACGGGTATGGGGCAAGGACCATGTGAGCGCATGGATTGTGGTTTGTTGGCAATCAGTGTTGCTAAACTGACACAAACCTGCCTAGGACTGAAATACCATAGGATTGTAGCAAAATGTAACGGCAACTCCAACAATAAAAATGACTAGCCAAAAATTTTAAAAATAGTAAATAATCAGGTGTATATTTTAAAAAATATTCCCAGTCAGAATTTGTATTCAGAAAATATTAGCAGTTTAAATTTTTTATCAAAATATTTAAAGCTCAATATATGACTTTTTTTCTTTTGGTACTGGGGATTGAATTTACAACCTTGTGTTTGCAAGTGCTTATGTCACTGAGCTAAATCCCTGGCCCATAGATTTTTAAATCTAGTAATAAGGATTGTCACCTTCCTATTTGCTTTGAATAGTCAATAAACCAGGTTGAAGATAATAAATTCTCACGATCTATCCTATTCACGTCTTAAGCTTTCAGTGCATATTTAGTATTGTATTGGTTTTCTATAGCTGCTGTAAGAATTTACCACATACTTAGTGGCTTAAAACAAATTTATTATTTCATACTTTTGTAGTTCAGAAGAAGGTCTTTCTGGATTGAAAAAGGGTTTCTCTGGTTTTCCTCAGGATTGTGGGGCTAAGTCCTTTTCCTATCATCTGTTAGGTTCTCCCACTTCTACCTGAGTAAGTTGGACCTGCAGGGATAATCTAATTTTATTATCTTAAAATCAGCTGGTTAGTGACTTTGTTCCTTCTGTAGCCTTATCCCCTAGTTTCCACATAGGGACACATATTCACAAGTTTCGGGAATGGACATGGATATCTTTGAATGGGGATATTATTCCACACGACAAGAGTATACTTTGGTTTTTAAAATTCCTACAATTTTTTTTTGCTTGTTTTGAGGCAACGTCTGGCTCTGTAGCCCAGGCTGGCCTTGAACTTGCAGTGATCTTCCTGCCTTACCCTCCGAATGCTGAGATTACAGGTGTGCACATCATAGCCAGATAAATCCCTGCAAATGTCTGACCAAATCAGCAATCTTTCCTAAGTATCATACAATTCTTGCATGCCTAGTAAGTGAAATGAAATGTATAACTAGAGTCAATTTCAGTTTCACTGAAACAATTTCAGTACTGTGTGTGTTATTGTGGACTGAACTCACAGCCTTGGTGATGAGCTGGATTTCCAGTTTTTCTATTGATTTAAATTTTGAGACCCAGTCTTGCTAAATCACTAACTTGCCCAAACTGAGTTTAAATCTGCAATCCTCTTGTGTTAGCCTCCCAGAGTATTGGGATTATAGGGACATGCCCTGTACCTCTCAAAAATTTTTTTTGAGACAGAGTTCCACTATGCAGTTCAAACTGGCCTTGAACTCACCATGTAGGCCAGGCTGGCCTTGAACTTGCAGCAGTCCTGCCTCAGCCTCCTGAGTGCTGGCATTACAGGTATGCGCCACTGTGTCCAGCTTTCAGTACTTTTTTTTTTTTTTTTTTCTTTTTCCTTTTTATCGGTACCGGGGATCAAACTCACAACTGTCTGCTTGTAAGGCAGGTGCTTATGCCGCTCAGCTAAATCCCCAGCCCTAGCTTTCAGTACTTTTTAACTTAGTCAAAAATCACACCTTTCCACCCAAGATTGAGTTCAATTATTGATTTGTACATTTGAAATTTTTAAAGATTAAAGATTAGCATGCTAGATAACGTAATAGTACAATTTGAGTACTTTAAATATTTAAAAATTAAAAATAGTTCCTTAAGTGCAGATGATGCATAGGAATGTATAGGAACAGAGCACACTCTGGAGTCTGACTGCGTGGCACTTTGCTTCTTAGCTTTGTGGATTAAAAAACTTTGTTTTACTTTTGTTTATGAGCATATGTGATATATAGTTAATGGCTTCATGATTGGGAGTTGGTACATACAGACATCAAATCTTAATCCTTTTACTTCTCTCTCCCTTTTCTTCCCTTCCTTTCTCCATCCCTAAATCTCTTCTTTTGGGAAGACACTTTCAAAGGGCATAGCAGAGTTAAATGGAACTTCTAGCTTTATCTTTTTGAGTAACACACATACTGATTTCCTATTTTACATTTCTACCAATAACGTAGAAGGGTTTCTTTTTCCACAGTTTTTCCAGCATTTGTCATTTGACTTCTTGAATATAATCATTCTTTCTGGAATAAGATGGAATTTCAGTATTGTTTTAATTTACATTTCTCTAATGTCCAAAGATGCTGAACATTTTTTCATATACCCATGAGCTGTATGTATTTCCTCGTTTGAAAAGCATCTATTCAATTGTCCATTTTATTGTTTTTTAAATTTGGGGGTCTAATTTTGTTTTGTTTAGAGGCAGAGTCTCACTATATAGCGCAGGCCCACCTCAAACTCACTTATGTAGCCCAGGTTGGCCTCAAACTCACAGCAATCCTCCTGCTTTAGCCTCCAGACTGCTGGAATTACGGGAATGGCCACCACACTGGCACTCTAATTTTTTTTGAGTTATTTATATATTCTAGATATTAGTCCTCTGAAGATAACTGGTGAAAGTTCTTCACCATTCTGCATGTTGTTTCTTCAGTCTGTTGGTGGTTTCTTTTGCTGTGCAGAAGCTTTTTAATTTGATATAATCTCATCTGTTAAGTTTTTGTTCCACTACAGTTCTGTGCAGAAAGTCCTTTGCCTATGTCTTTAAGAGTTTTACCAATTTCATCTTCCTGCCAATTTAGTGTTCCTATTTTAGTGTCGAGTTCTTCAATCCATTTTGATTTTGTTTTTTTTATTGGTACTGGGGATTGAAGTCATAACCACGCACTTGCAAGGCAGGCGCTTATGCCACTGAGCTAAATCCCCAGCCCCCTTGATTTTATTTTATACTTGGCGAGAGACATGGGTCTAGATTCATTCTACATAAGGATAACTAGTTTTTCCTCCAGTTGTTAAAGAGGCTGCCTTTGTTTTCAGTGTATGTTTTTTGCCTCTCTGTTAAAGACCAGATGGCTGAAGTACCTGGGTTGTTTAGTTTTTAGCTATGTAACAACCTTTTTGTGCTTCAGTTCCGTTATTTCTGAATAAGGATAGTGGTAGGACCTACCTTGTAAGGAAAGTTAATGAGAATTTAGAATTTAAATGGCTTAATATTTATGAAGCACTTAAAATAGTGTGGGACACAGGGATAGTAGTCCTTCTGTGTTTGTTACAATTTTTAAAATAATATAAATTTGATAGTACGCTTTATCATCTCCAATCTTATGATAACATTCTTTAGGGTTAAAATATATATCCAGTTTTATCTCCACAGGCAGAACAGAAAATCAGTGGGTACTACCTCCGGGACGTGCGGTTGCTGATGGACTTGAGTGGGTCTGGCTAGGTATACCTGACTGCAGACTGTCCACACCCCGGCGGTTCTTACACCACTGCTGGACCCGTGTAAGTGTGACAGAATTGAATCTGTGCCATCGAAGGGGTTGTCTCTTGGGGTTATGTTTACATACTTGCTTCTTTTGATTTGAGTAGGTAAAACACCGGATCCCATCTCTACCTGCCGCACTAAGATAACTTTCCATGTGTCATGGTTGGTTTATATTTCTTGAGCACCATAAGACAAGCTATGTTGGGAGTTCTCTAGTCTGCCTTAGGCTTATTTCTTTCTTATGATTTCCAGTCTGTATTTCGTGAGATTTACTGCTAAATTTCTTCAACTATTTTTTACTAACTAAATTGTGAATTCTCCTGAAGCTTTTCCAGTTTGGACAGAGAGTCTATCTTATACATATTTAAATAACAACTTTTGGCTGGGGCCAGTGATGGGGAAACTTTTAGAGCTTTTAATGATAACAAACAACCTGCTGTGGCACACATGCCATAGGTTTGCCATCCCTGCTAGGCCCTAGATGCAATTCCCAGCACCGAGAAAAACAAAACAAAACAAAACAAAATTTGGATTCGGACTGACCCTTCTTTTGTTTTGTCAAAACATCTAGAGTCACATTAGTAGCAGTCCTGCTGCCGAATACTTACAGTAAGCTGTCAGTGGGAAAACCACAGCTTACCTGCTCTCCTCAGGGATGTGTGTTCTCAGCTTGTAGATATCCTGTAAGCTCTGTTCAATGATGAGCTGGGTGTCAGAGTCATCATCTGTGCTATCATCGCTGGCATAGTTATCCATGTAAGTGTGCACAGATTCACTTTAAGGATAGAATGAATTAAAAATATTTTATAGCTATGAAAAGATTATCAACTGCTTAAAATTATAAATGAAATTTAGAAAATTTAAAATTTGCTATGATTGATAAATGAAGAAAACGTAAAATTTAGAAAACAAAATATTCATCTAAAAATGTCTCCATAAACTTAAGTTTTCGGCACTGTGACAGGTGAGTAACTACTTAAAAGTTTATTCAAGAAGAAAACCTTTCATATGTGGCTGAGGCCAATGCTGCCGTAACACTGAAACTGTTCCATTCATCTTTTTAGACTTGGCTTGTGAATTTTTCTCAAGTGACGATATAGAACTCATTCAAACAACAGCTTTCCTACACACGGCGTCATGCTGAAAATAATAAACACACTAAGGAATCAGTGGATTCTCTTCACAACAGATAATAGGAACAGACGAAAGCAAACACCAGTGTGCTCCCAGGCAATATCTAAATAGTTTAAAAGAACATTGCAGTTTTAGGATGGAATAGGTCTGATCACATACCAAAGACTTTACCTTCTGGTGTCTCCCGCAGGACAGCACTGCAGTTTCCACTGTCAAGGATTAGCACACGCAGCCTCGGGGTTTTCACTGACATTTGGACTCCACTCCCCTGCAGGGACTGTTATAAATAGCGTCACTATAAATACTTGATCATAAGACGGTCTGGCAAGTTGGCCTTGTTTTTCACATGTGGTTTGGCTCTGTTTGGAAACACATCTTTTCCTTCACTGCTGGATTCCTCAAATTTAAAAGAGTAAACATCTTACTCCTGGGATAACAAGCATCTGCAGGGGTTTCTCACACAAAGAGAATTCTTTCTCATAAGACTCATGGACATAGACACTGTAAGCCAGAATTAACTTTCTATTTAAGAGAGATTAAACATTTTTCTCTGACTTTAGTACCAAAAGTGACTTGTCCCAATGGTCATGTTCAGTGGGTAGCTGTACTTACCTTTTCTTGGGTTTATGGAACTGCAGGCTAAAGTATCCATGGAGTTCCAAGGAAGCAATTAATTCCACACAAAATAATACAATTTTGATTAAAATTTTACTTTATTGAAATATCTTTAAATTGTTAATAGGATAAAATTGTTAGTAAACTGTTAACTATGTTAATGGGTGCATAGTAAGTAATAAAAATATCAACCACTAAAGAAAATAAAGGGGCAACTTGGCGTTTCTAATTCAGTATGAAGCACACTGCCCCTGCGGTGAGGCGTGCGGGGCCCAGCAGCCACCTCCCTGCCTGTGTTAGGTCAGCTTCACTTCTCTCAGGTCCTGTCCCAGTCAGAGGAGGGCTGAGGAAATGCTGGTGACATTTGAGAAGTGGGAAGCACGGCCTTGGGGCTTTAATAATTGTTGTAATATTTTGCTTATAATTTCTTTGTATAAAATGTTCATGTGCTATAACTTGAGGTAGGTAAGTAGAAGGTAAAATACTTCGGAAATGGAGGGAATGATTTAACATCAGTGAAAAATAATTTCTAGTTAAATTTTAGCCATTTAATCCTCACAATCTGTGTTTACATACAAATCAAACTAAAACTAAATAAAAGCTTCAGAAATCTTGTCTATAATTCAAAGTAACACTGCTCTTCACATTTTCTTCCAGTGGTGCCTACCTGTGATCTTGACAGTCTGGTTAGAAGACTGCATTCCCAACAAGCGTGGATGTTGGTGCATATGTGTGTGTGTACACACACACACACACACACACACACACACACACACGTAGATACACAGATAGATGATACATAAAGACAGTTCCAATGGTTATACTACTGATTTCTCTGAGTACAATGAAGAGAAAGATTTGCACTGGTACTGTCCGGACAATTGTAAGCGGATGTCTTGTGCTCTGGGTGAATGATCTGGGGATAGCAATGCACACTGTATGTACCATTGTTGCCCCTAGCTGATGTGTTTTGAAATTTTGTTTTAGTATTTTTTTCTTCTTTTGTTTGCCTTGAAATAAATTGGATTTGAAAAACATCATAAAATGTTGGGAAAAAGAAGAGTGGATGTTGGGGAGGAGAATCATGAGTGCAACGACCTTTCACAAAGACCACTGAAAAGAATCACATCAATTTATCTTGTTTTATAAATTTTTTAAGTCAGTAGAAACAATTTTTTTAAACTTTTAGACATTTTATAATTTGTCCAGCTTAGTCATCCAACTGACAAAGGAGAGCCACACCACGCTTGATCCAGTGCTTAACGGGTTCGTCTGTTTTTAACAGCATTGCAATGACGAAGTTGGTCGAGTGTCCCGTAGTGGAAAGAGTTCCTTTACGCTCACTTGTCTTGTACAGTGGACAGATGTAGGCATCTGACTTCACAATCTGGGACTTTTGGGCTTGTGAAAAAGAGAAATATACTCAGTAAAGGGAAAATTGCCCCTCGTACTGAAAGCAGAGTTGTTATCTTGTAAAAAATAGTACCAAATCAAAGATTTTATCACATTTGAAGATGTTAACATTTTTGTATTTATAGTTGGTAGATTATTATTGGTATATTATTATTATGTGATTCATGTGGTAAATAATTCTAGGTCTAGAAGTCTGGAATAAATTGTAAAATTCTGACCACTTAGCAGGATGAAAACACTCAAGAGGACCCGGGAGGCAAGGAATAAGAGAAGGGTACAGGGAAGGAATAAACGCAGTATGGGGAGTGGGAAAGATTCAAAAGGAGACGCTCAGCTGGGTGTTGCAGTGCACGCCTGTTAACCCCAGCACTCGGGGGCTTGGGTGGGAGGATCGCTGTGAGTGTGAGGCCAGCCTGGACTCAACGTGGAGTGAGACCACGTTTCAAACAACAACAACAACAACAACAACAAACAACAATATAAGAGAAACACAACTGCTCAGAGCACTAACAGAAGAAATCCATTATTCAAGCTAACACTATGTCTTTAGCATGTTACTAATAAGAAAAAGACACTAACAAATTCTTTTTGTCAACTCACAAAAAGAATCTATATTCAATTTCTTTTTCTTTTCTTCTTCTTTTTTTTTTTGGTACTGGGGATCAAACTCAGGACCTCATGCTTGTCTGTCAGGTGCTTATGCCACTGAGCTAAATCCCTGGCCCTCTATATTCAATTTCTGAAAAGCCAGATATGAAATTTAGTAGCCTTTTTTTGTCTTTCTGAACTAAGGCCACATTTCTTAAAATTGGACCACATTAATAATGGAGATATTTGTTAGGCTGGGTGGTGATTCTTGGGTGATCTGCAAATGTTATTATTTATTTTTTAAGAATGTAAGACCCAGGGTTGAGGCTATAGCTCAGTGGTAAAGCACTTGTTTAGAATGCGTGAAGCCCTGGGTCCAATCCACAGCAGTGAAAAAAAAATTAAAAAGAATAGAAAATACTGATTATAGTAAAAAGAGGAAGGAGCAAGTAATTTCTCCAAGGGAGCAAAAGTGGCTCCAGCCTCATGTGGTTTTCAACATACATAAATGCCCTGCTGGCTGCTTGGCCTAAGAATTTCTTTTTTATTTCTTCCAAATCCATTTTATTGTAAAGAGAAAAAAAAAAACCCAAAATTTCAAAGCCACAACAATCAGGAGACAACAATGATGCACACATTGCGCACTACCATCCCTAAATCAGTCACCCATAGTGCAAGACATCTGCATTCAGTTGTGCAAATAGTAACAGCACAAACTTTTCAGTGAACTCAGAGAAATCAGAAGTGTAACTATCATACATATAGTATAACAATATATATGAAACAACATATAATATATATATACTACATTATACTATATATATATATATATATATATATATATATATATAGTTTCAGCTTCTCACACTAGTGAGACTAAGATGGTTACACATGCATGTTTGATTTATTTCACTTATGAATATGGTCTCAAGTTAAATCCATTTACCCATAAAAGCTCAAGTTTTTCTTTCCTTATGGCTAAGTAGTACTTCACTGTATAAAAACTAAAGATTTCTTATAGGCCAAAAATCCTAGACACTAGCGAGAGTCTGTGTCAAGCTGTTTGTGTCTCTGAACAGCATGCAAAGGGAGTTCAGAATCAACATTTGGATGGTAATGGTTCAGTCTCTGACAGCCTTTGTAGAAGTGTGCGGGAAAGGAAAGAAAGTGATGCATCCTGTGAGCTAAGAGGACAAAGAGGCAGAACGATAGCCCTCAAATAATATGGACACACACACAAAAAGGGGAGCAACAAAACGCATTCTAAACAAGTGCTATTCCAAGGTGGGTACCCTGCCACTTTTAAATTACGGTCAAGGTAAATCCTAAAAGATTTGAAGAAAAATTTATCTCAAGTAGCAGTTAACAACAGCTGTCATTATTTTCCCTAAAACTCAAGGGAATTTTGAGAAATATATTTACATGGTTTTATCCATATGATGGGCATCAGATCAAACAGAAGCTTGTGATATTGTTCGGCAAGCAACCCGCTGCAAAGAGAAATGGACAGAAGTTATTAGTCATATCTGAAATTTGCTTCTTAGAACAGATTGCTGCCTGGATATTAGCTTTTAATACAGGAGAAGAACACTAAAAGAGGAGAGAGACAGAAAGAGACACAGAGGGAGGACAGGGGGGAAGGTAGCGAAGAACAGAAACAAAAGAAAATAACAGAAAGGTGAAATGTAACACAGCAGGCAGAAGTCAGTGCCTGCCAGCTACGTCCCACTCGCCAGGCCGGCATCTGCCGCTTCATCTGTGCTCAGTGATCCTAGTCCACCTGGCCTGCGCTCGGCGGCCCTGGTCCACCTGGCCTGCGCTCGGCGACCCTGGTCCACCTGGCCTATGTTCAGTGACCCTGGTCCACCTGGCCTGCGCTCGGCGACCCTGGTCCACCTGGCCTATGTTCAGTGACCCTGGTCCACCTGGCCTGCGCTCGGCGGCCCTGGTCCACCTGGCCTATGTTCAGTGACCCTGGTCCACCCGGCCTGCGCTCGGCGACCCTGGTCCACCCGGCCTGCGCTCGGCGACCCTGGTCCACCCGGCCTGCGCTCGGCGACCCTGGTCCACCCGTCCTGCGCTCGGCGACCCTGGTCCACCTGTCCTGCGCTCGGCGACCCTGGTCCACCCGGCCTGCGCTCGGCGACCCTGGTCTTCCTGGCCTGCGCTCGGCGACCCTGGTCCACCTGGCCTGCGCTCGGTGACCCTGGTCCATCTGGCCTGCGCTCGGCGACCCTGGTCCACCTGGCCTGTGCTCGGTGACCCTGGTCCACCTGGCCTGCGCTCGGCGACCCTGGTCCACCTGGCCTGTGCTCGGTGACCCTGGTCCTCCTGGCCTGCGCTCGGTGACCCTGGTCCACCTCCCCTGCGCCCCGTGACCCTAGTCTACCTCCTCTGTGCTCAATGATCCTAGTCCCTCTCACGGGCAAAGATGGAGGCACAGAGATACAAGCAGACAGTCCTTAAGCACCGGTTTTCTTCTTTTGATATTGGGTTTTGAACCCAGAACCTTGAGCATACCAGGCAGGTGCTGTGCTGCTGAGCTACTCCTCTGGCCCCTTAAGTGCCACTTTCAGGATTCAAGCACAGATATGCCTACCTAGAAAATCTGATTACTCTCCATGCTACGTTGTTGAAAAGGAGGGAAAGAAAGAAGGAAAATTCAATACATACAGAGTGATCGTTATGTGTGGCAAACAAGCACTAATAAAACATTTTTAAAAATTGGGCATTAGTGCTAGGCAGAGCACCTGCCTAGCATGCAGAAGTAGATAAAAAATGGGTAACTATAGAAGGTAAAAAGAAGTGAACAAAAATTCTAGAAAAGTTATGAAAAAAAGAAAATAATAAAAAGAACTATGTATGGTGGTGTCTCCTCATAACTTTGTTTCAAAATTATCTCTGCAGAACTTCTACGTCATTACTTCCCATTAGGTGGTTTTTCCTACCTTTGGCCTTAATGTTGATCTTTATCATGCCCTTGGGAGCAATGGCTGGGCCTGCCTTTGGGATACAGAGTTGGATCTATGAAAGGATGGTAAACACCAAGACTCTAAGGGAAATGTCTTTCCTCTCCCACTCCTATTCATTCTATGTATTCTATGTTTATTAGTAACATACTGAGCATATTCATCCTGGGAACTGGTACACACACAGGTCACATCTTAGTCCATTTTCTTTTTCCCTCACTTTCCTTTTTCTCCATCCTGTATCCCTTCTCATCTGTGAGAGGTCTACTTCCCTGTTTCCTATCATTTATCCTTCATTTTGACTTTTAAATTATTTATACTTCGGGTTTCTTTTATAAGCGAACTCCTGTGACATTTAATCTTCTCCATCTGGTTTATTTCAGTTGGCATTAGTAGCTCTACTCATTTAAACTTAGTTTAAGAGGGAAGCTGGACATTCAACATTTATTCAAAGTATTTATTTATTTAGTGTCTTATCAACATGAAAGAAAAAGTGTCCTGTTCTCTAAAGGGCAACTTTATTATAATTATCAGCTGTTGACAATTGGGAAAATATATAAAGAAAATTGGGTTTGTATAATGGAAGGTAACATAAAAGAAAGCAGGAAAATAACCAGCAAATTTTCTCCTAATAAGATCACTGAAATACTTGACATATTAACTAAAAATTGTTTAGCATCTAAAAATCATCACAGTTGTCTCAGCCTGAGTAATGATTTATATAGGAATTCTGATATATTACTTGACTTATTCCCTAGAAGATGCCTTTTAGGTAAGAAAAACAAAAAAACCATCGGACCATCTGCCTCTATTCTCTATGATTCACATACAACAAAGACAGTCTTACAGTTGCAAGGACTGACCTTGCCCGGTCCCAGCGAGCTCCATCAAGATACAACCCGTGGATGTAAACACCGTCATCTGGTGCTGTGTCAGATGTGTCAGAAGGGATCACCTGCGGGGAGAAGCCACACTAGGAACGCTTCCTCCACACAGCTAAGTGTCAGAAAGGAAGCACTGCTCAATACTCAGAGCACATTTAGGAAACTCCACGTGTAACCGTTTGTTAAACTACAAAACTTTTCAGTTTTAATGTGTAGCAATGTGTAATACTGTATAGCTCTTTGTGAAGCATTTTATGAGGCTTTACTCAGTGCACATTAATGTTTGCAAAAGTAGAACAACACTTGATTATTTAAATCAAATATTGAGAGACAGGAAAGTCCTATACTAGTGATAGAAAGACAAGTATTATATATGTTCTTCATGGAACACAAAAATTGTGAAGTATGATTTCCTATGGTGGATAATTGTTGGGAGCCGCAGCCCTGAGCCCGGTCGCCTCACTTGGCGGACGTGCGGCCTGTGGTAAAGAGCAAAGCCTGGGGTAGATTACCCCTCCCATCGAATATGTTAGTTTCCTGCTTACCGCGTAAACAACCCGCTCAACAATATAGTCTGCCTGGCAACTGATGATGTTAGCCAATCAGCTTGCCTTGCTTACTTTAACATGATTGGACACTGTACCCGTATATATACCGGTGCCACCCCTGGGCGGAAGAAGAAGCCAGGTAGAAGCCCGGAAGTAAAAGCCCAAAAGGAGCCGCGGAGAGCGGACCGGTAGAGGCTTTGGGGCAGACTGAAGCACAAAAGGAGCCGCGGGGAGCGGACCAGAGGAGGCTTCAGCTGGGAGAACCCAGGGCAGGCTGTACGGAGAAGGAAAATAAAAAGAAAAGGTTGTCCACTACCAGACTTTGTCGTGTGTCCTTCCTGCCGGCCGGGAGCGGACATCGACATTTGGAGGCCCGCCCGGGGACTGATCACCCCCGCGACGTGGAAGTGGACAACGCTCCAGTACAGAGCTGCGAGACAGGTGAGTTGGGGATAAGCCTGGGCTCTGGGTGGCGCGCACCTACAGGGCTTTTAGACTCCCCTCAGGCTCACGCGTAAGTGGCGGATTCCTTGGGCCTCACGCGGTGAGTAACATATTAAAAGATGGGAAACATGTTAGGTAGCAACACTAAGAGCGAGGGTGGTTGTGGAGAAAGCTCTCAAGAGCTTACAAAAGTACGCAGGGTATCTGAGCAGGCCCAGTCAGGGAGCTCCCGAGAGGGGCCCGTCAAGGGGAACAAAGATGCTAAGGAGGAGGACGGGGCTCTAGCCTCGGAGTCGTCTGACTCCGAGGACGAGGGAAAGTTGAATGGCAAGGAGGCCAAAGAGACCAGCTGTCAGGAGCCTAAATCGCTCGATAAGGAGTCGCAGGGTTCTTTACCTTGGGGGCCGTTTCTGGAGGCGATCCCTCGCCACGAGGCGGCCGCCTGGGGGCTCTCTCCCCTTTCGCCAGAACAGGAAGTGATGCACGGGCCCCCATTTTCCGCCCAATCATGGCCGCTGTCTTATGCTCCGCCGCCGGCGGGTCGGTATTTTTACAGGCGGCTTTGGCAGGGGGGACGCTTGTCTCATGAGGTACATCCACCTGGGATAGATAGTGGCCCCTACGGGATATTTCCTGTACAAGTAGCTATGGGCCAGGGACGCAATGTATGGGAGCCTTTTGAGATAAAGCAGATTAGAGAACTTAAAAATGCAGTTACAACCTTTGGGCCGACTGCGCCTTACACCATTGCCATGCTGGAGAACCTGTCTTCTGGGCCCCTCACCCCCACGGACTGGATTCAGCTGGCAAAGGCGTGTCTGCCCTCGGGCAGTTACCTGGATTGGCGAGCCTGGTACGCAGAGTTCTCTGCAGAGCAGGCTGAGAAAAACGCCGGTCGAGGAAACGGGGGCTAGAGATTTAGCTCAGCGGCATAAACGGGGGCTGGGGATTTTCGATCCCTGGTACCAATAAAAAAAAAAAAAAAAAAAAAAAAAAAAACGAAAAAGATAAAAATAAAAAATAAAAAACAAAAATTGCAACAGCAGAAACAGGTGAAAAAGTGTCTAATGTGATCAATCATTGCCTGGCAGCTTGGGCCTCATGGGGCAAACCAAAAATATTAAAAACTGATAATGGACCAGCCTATATAGGCAAAGCCTTCAATGAGTTCTGCAAAATGATGGAGGTTCAATTAAAACATGGTATCCCATACAATCCCCAAGGTCAAGGAATCATTGAGAGGGCTCATAGAAGCCTCAAAGAAATTTTACAAAAACAAAAAGGGGGAGTAGGCCAAGGCCTGGCCCCAAAGGCACGATTATCCATGGCACTATTCACACACAATTTTTTAAATTTAAATAATGATAATCGCTCCCCAGCTGTGGAGCACTGCAACCCTTCCCCCAACCATAAAGGGTGGGTGAAGTGGAAAGATGTCCTGACAGGATAATGGATGGGCCCGGATCCAGTGATCAGCTGGAACCGAGGCGCGGTTTGTGTTTTCCCACAGGAACCGGGACGAGAACCACTGTGGATACCGGAGAGACTGACACGGGCAACAAAGCCCTCGACTGAAGATCAGACCTGCCCTACTGGAGATCCATCACAGACCAACCAATAAGATGAATAGAAATAGCGGTAGCCCGAAATGGACAAGAAGATCCTCAGGCATATGCATGGCTTGCTCAATTGGCCCACGACCGAGTCTAGATATGGCGGGCATCCCTCATTCTCCTCCATAAGGTGACAATACACAGCAGGGTAGGTGAGTCAATGACGGGTAAGAGCGTGCCTCCCCAGCACGACTCGACCTAAGCCAGGCCCTACCCCATCCTGCACGTAAGCCGCTGGACTGTTAGATGCTGCCCAGGTCTAAATTTCTCTCCGAGGGGATTTCTTTACGGAGAGGAAATGAGTGCAAGCTTGTGTGCATCCAGGTTCCGTCCAGTTTGTGCCTGGCCCTAGAAAAAGGACGAGGGCCTCAGGGCCTTGGCAGACCATGGCATGGCCAACCAGGGTCTAAGCCAAGGACCTACGGTGGACCTACACATAGGGCATAAGCCTCTGCACCCAGTCCAGGAAGGGCTACGATGCGCACATTCATAAAAAATAAAATAGGGGGAGATGTTGGGAGCCGCAGCCCCGAGCCCGGTCGCCTCACTTGGCGGACGTGCGGCCTGTGGTAAAGAGCAAAGCCTGGGGTAGATTACCCCTCCCATCGAATATGTTAGTTTCCTGCTTACCGCGTAAACAACCCGCTCAACAATATAGTCTGCCTGGCAACTGATGATGTTAGCCAATCAGCTTGCCTTGCTTACTTTAACATGATTGGACACTGTACCCGTATATATACCGGTGCCACCCCTGGGCGGAAGAAGAAGCCAGGTAGAAGCCCGGAAGTAAAAGCCCAAAAGGAGCCGCGGAGAGCGGACCGGTAGAGGCTTTGGGGCAGACTGAAGCACAAAAGGAGCCGCGGGGAGCGGACCAGAGGAGGCTTCAGCTGGGAGAACCCAGGGCAGGCTGTACGGAGAAGAAAAATAAAAAGAAAAGGTTGTCCACTACCAGACTTTGTCGTGTGTCCTTCCTGCCGGCCGGGAGCGGACATCGACAGATAATAACATCAATTTTGCATATCTTCCTTGCTTAAATACATAGCTTTGCTGTAATGAAGTATTGTTGAGTTTAACAGTTACTGTACCTCAAATTCATATCCTAGTAAATCAATAGGGATGGTGTATTTTCTGGCATAATTCTGCATAGCTCCAGTTAAAAAGGCTTGGGTGAAAAAGAAACCTGAGAGCCAAAACACACAGGGTTTTCCTGAGTTGTACCAGTCCTGTAAAGGGGAAAACGAAATACATTATGTCTATCCTTCCACTTCTATAGCTGTTATTTATCCACTTCCTGAGACTGATGTATGTGTGTGTGTGTGTGTGTGTGTGTGTGTGTGTGTGTGTGTGCGTGTGTGCAGTCACACACACTGTCCTACCTCTTTCCTTTCTAGCTACGCTTCTTTGAAATTCAAATTAACAAAAGCATTAATATGAATGAAATACAATTTGAAAGATTCAAACCTGCTACAAAAGGCTGTGAATTTTCCGAGGATCTCTCACGTTCCCTCACCCCAAAGCTGCCATCTTTAAACATCTCACAGGTTGTTTAGCTGTGGCCCTCTGTGTTGATTCCAGTTCCTTAGCCCCTTGAATGCCGTCTCCGTGTCCACTGCCCTCTTCAGTTCAGGTGCTGTGGTCTTCTCCCTGTGTTAGTGTACGCTACCTCTCTCTGCTGAATACAGCTAGAACAGTGCGGCTAGAAAACATCTGACCGTGTGGAGTTAGGATCAGATTTATCATCTCGTAACTCTTCAGTGATCACATTAAAGCCCAAGCTTCTTGGTCTCCTGTGCAAGAAGCTTCACAGTCTGGGCCCCAGGTGTCGTTTTAGCCCTGTCTCTCTTCATGAACTATTGAAACTGAACTTTTTAGCAGTTGCTTCTGTCCTGGGAGAGCACCAGCTGTTTTTACTGCCTTTTTTTGGGGGGGTACTGAGACGAACTCACAACTTCGCACTTCGCAGGCAAGTGCTTGTGCGGCTGAGTGAAATCCCCAGCCTCTCTGTAATACCAGCCTTCCTTCCCTCTGGAGGGCAAACCCTCCTGGCTCTTCACCCAGGCCCCTCCAGGGCTTCATGTAGTCTCCTGTGGTATGTGTGCCTGGCCTATCACACTTTAAGCATAGTCACTGACCAAGCAATAGACATGTGACTCATTCAAAGCAAAAGATGTAGAAACTTATTTTCAGGGAAAAGAAACTCAACTGTAGTTGTGTGAGGTAAGGCCAGAGTTGCTGCTATCAGATGAGAACCTAACTGAGAATAGAATTAACCCAAAGAGAACACAGCTGAAAGATGGGAAGTACAAGAAGCCAGGACTATGTAACCATGTTGGCCCTCAAGTCAGAGCTTACCTGTCGCCCCTGTGACCCCTGGGCTTACACTTACGTGAGGAACAAACTTTCCTTCTGCTATGCCAGAAGTTTTGTTTGTTACACAGCATCGATTTTCTATGATATAGCACCTTTCATCCCACAGCTACAAAGGTGGCTTAGTAATTCTCAGAATACCCCAAACCTACTTTTATTTTGGTATCAGGGATCAAACTCATGACCTTAAGCCTGCCAGGCAGGTGCTTATGTCACTGAGCTAAATCCCCAGCCCCATGACTTTTTCTTTTTTTGTTAATGGGAATTTAACTCATTATTTCATGCATGCCAGGCAGGTGCTTGTGCCACTCAGCTAAATCCCTGGCCTCCAAACTCACATCTTGGAGGAAGAGAGTTTTACTTTGGTTCACAATTTTAGCACACACATGTGCCCCAAAAGAAACAGTCCCACTAATAATCTGGAAAAGTCAAATGATTGACGTATGAGACTAGAAAAAATCTGAAGTGGAAACAAAGTCTGAATCTCTGCAGCCTCACAAGCTAGTTATTTTATGATTAGCTTCAACTTGAAACAGGTTGTTTTTGTTTTTGTTTTGTGTCATAAAAAGGCAATTGTTATGGCATGTACCACCACACTGGCTATTGTTGGGTTCTCAAATGTCTCCCAAAAGCTCGTGCATGCGTTGGAGGCTTGGTCCCCCGCTGGTAGTGCTATTGGGACCCAGGGTTTACCAGAAGCTGTTACATTAGGAATGTGCCCTTAAAGGGAGTTTTGGGGCGCCCTTTGCTTCCTATCTTTTGCTTCCTCTGTCACATGATATTGTGCTTCCTCATGAGCCCAAAGCGATGGGGGCAACAAACCGTGGACTGAAGCCCTGAAATCATAAGCCAGAATAAATCTTTTCTTTTTTGAGCTGTTTGTCTCAGATACTTTGTCATTGTGATCAGTAAACAACACTGGCAAAGTGATGTCACAGCAACTGATCACTAAAAGACATGCACCTTTGTGAACCTCCAAAAAGACACTTCTGGGATTCTCCCTGTGCTGCTGCAAAACCACTAGCCACAGGACAGGGCAAGCAGGGTGCGGAGGGCGAAAGGCCTCCTGCCACAGGCTCTCCTGTACTCTCCATTCCTTGTGTGTGGTGCCTGTTTGTGTGTCAGCACACCTCTACACGCATTTGTGTTACAGGACTCAAAGCACCATCTCTCCCTTAGCTTTATGAGCTACAAGATAAGAAGTACTGATTTTAAGATAATGAATAATAATTGATAGTTCCAAGCCTCTGACTTTTTGAGATTTACTATAGGTATTAAAATCACCAGACAATATTAAATATGGTCTCAGAGAATCACAAATGTAGAACTTTCAGAAACATAAATGTTATATCTTAATTGAGTTTGCTCAAAGTAAAATATTAAGCTTTTACTCAATATTTTGAAATGTGTATATTTTTCAAGATCCTAAAATTTTGGTTAGACTACTGTGAAACTACCAATCACATCCCATTCAACTCAGAGAGATTAAAGTGACTGCAGTCAATTATTAACAGCATTTCAGTTGTGCATGGCTGTAATTTAAGATATTCTTTTACCTGTAAAAATCTCAGCCGGGCTAGGAAATCTGTGATATAGCTTCCGAGGGGCTTAAGACTGGGGTATGATCGCTTGGCCCATATTTCTGGAACTTTTCCAATGAGCAAACTGCTACAAAGTGCCTCCAGCGCTGCATCCATTACCACCACACCCTTGATAGCCTTCTCAAGGTCCTCCAGAGTGCTGCGTATAGTTATAATCAAACTGCAATAAAAGAAAGACATCAGCAGCATGCGCACGATGGCAATGGTCAGCACGTGGTGCTCGAGAGGATGGAATAACACGCATCCTACTCAGGGCCTTCTGGGAGTGTTTTCTAAGGTGTGGCCACATCCCATGTGGTGACATTTAAATGAGCATCTTCCATTTAATCACTGCCCATGTATGTTTAAATACAGATAATAATACCACTCACATAGCAAAACTTTTGCCTCTGGTATTATTTCTTAGGATCTAGTTTTTTGTTTTGTTTTTGTTTTGTAACAGGGATTGAACTCACAACCTCATGCTTGCCAGGCAGGTGCTTGTGCCACTGAGCTAAATCCCCAGCCCCCAGCTAGTTTTTAAAAACATTTTTTATTGTACATGGGGTACAAAGTAGTATTGTGCTTTCTGAATACAGTATAAGTAGGAAGGTTATATTAAACTGATCAATGTCACCTCAAATATTTAACATTTTCTGCGATAAAAGCACTAGAAATCCTTTTTTGACTCTGTGAGACAGGGTTTCATATGCAGTTCAGGCTGGCCTTGAACTCAAACTGGCTCCAATTTGCAGGGATCCTCCTGCCTGGTCTCCTGAGTGCTGGGATTACAGGCGTGCACCACCACACCTGGGAAGGATCAGAAATCTACTCAGTGATCTTGGAATGTATTATATGTAGTTATATTCTAGGGTTAGCACATTGTGCAGTAGCACAATCTAAAACAAAGTCAAACTTACTCCTTCCATGTAACTAGGCTTTGTGTCCCTTCATTATCATCCCCTCACTCCCCTTCCCCTGCAGGCCCCGGTAACTACCATCCTACTCACGCTCCTGCAGGTCGATTGTCTTACATTCTGCTTACTACAAATGAGAAATGCATTATTTGTCTTTTTGGGTTTGGCTTACTTCACTTAGCATAGTGTTTTCCAATTTCAGTCATGTTGTCACAAATGACAGACTGGTTCTCTTTAAGACTAAATAGTGTTCCACTGTATATACATCTCACAGTCTTAAAACTTCATTCATTCCTTGATGGACATTTAGGCTAATTCATAAATAATGTGGTGGTAAACACAGATGTGCATCTTTTGATATGCTTATTTCAAATCTGCAGTAGCACTTAGAGGTGGCCCTGCTGGATTGCATGGCATTTCTATTTCAGTTTTTGGAGGAATCTGTACTAATTTACACTCCCATCAAGATGCACAAGGGTCCCTTTGCTCTATACCCTCTCCAGAACTTATCTTTTTAATAACAGCCAGCTTAACTGGGATGGGGGATGTCTCACTGTGATTTTGATATGTGTCTCCCTGACACTTAGTAATGTTGGGCATTTTTCCATATACCTGTTGGTTGTCTCCTTTTGAGAAATGTCTTGTCCATTTCTTAATCAGATTATTTACTCTCTTTCTATAGATTTTAATTCCTTATATACCCTGGATATTAATACCTTATAAGAAAGATGAATTGTATATATTACCTCCTAATCTGTAAATTCTCTCTTTGGTCTGTTAACTGTTGATATACAGATTTTATTTTTATTTTAAGGTAATTCCATTTGTCTATTTTTGCTCTTGTTGCATGCAGTTTAGGGGTCAATCTAAAAATGTATTGCCCAGACCAACATCGTGTGTTTTCCCCCATTTGCCCTTCTAGTAATTTTTTAATTTCAGATCTTATGTTTCAGTCTGTAAACTATTTTGAATTGATTCTTATAAGTGACATAAGATTTTGCATTTACATATTTAGTCTTCCCAACATCATTCATGGAAGAAACTGTCCTTTTCCCATTGTATATTACTGGCACCTTTGTCAAAGATT